TGGTGATCAGCCACATTAGGGAACCACTGAGCTCATCCAATACCTCATTAGACAGTCGGGAAGACTGTGGTCCTGAGAGTAGATGGGCTTCTCTCTTTTTTTTTTTTTTTTTGAGACAGAGTCTCACTCTGTTGCGCCGGCTAGTGCCATGGTGTCAGCCTAGCTCACAGCAACCTCAAACTCCTGAGCTCAAATGATCCACCCGCCTCGGCCTCCCAGACTGTTAGGATTATAGGTGTGAGCCACCGTTCCTGGCCTAGATGGGCTTCTCTAAGGGTAGCTGCCCGGATAGGGGCAACTAACTCAAGTCTCCGGACCCCAGTGCTCTTGCCACTGTGTCCCCTGCCGGAGGCGATCCTGCAAGGTGAGCAAAGCTCCCGAGACACATAGACCCACCTGCCAAGCAGGCGAGGATCCATCTGCTTCTGTGTCAGGTGGTCTTCCAGCCTTTGCTTGTATTCCAGTGCTGAAGGGGGCTCCCGTCTCATAAAGCAGCCTCTTCCCGGGGCCTTCGGGGCGTTTTCCCTTGTATGGGGCCAGATACATCTCTCTGTCTCCTCCCTTATTGGACCTGATTCTGTCCTGTGAGACCCTGCAGCTCCATCTCCTGACGCCTGCAGAGATTGCACAGGCAGGGCAGTCAGAGCTGGGAGGATGAGGAAGACGGAGTAAGAGCTTCATGGTCTGGCACAGTCTTGCACTGCCTCCCTCAACCCTGCGAAACAGGCGTGGGCAGCTTTGTTTTACTTAAGCGGGAACTGAGGCTTGGGGCGCGGCATTGACTTGCCCAAGCTCCCACATCAGTTAGTGTCAAGGTGGACACAGTGTCTTCAATTTACGGATTCAGGAGCAGAACCACTGCTGAGAATTCACAGTGAGTGAGCGGTGAGGTGGGGGTCAAAACCGCAATCTGTTCCTCTCTCACCTGTGCTCAGGGGCCTCATGCTCGGCCGCCTTGAGGCTTTCACTGGGAGTGGTGGCCAGGTGGGCAGCCTGGGGTAAAAAACCTTCTGGCGCACATGCAGCTCAAGATCTACGACAAAGCAGATGCTTGTGTCATCACCTGTCTTAGTCCATTCAGGCTGCTGTAACAAAAAATACCATAAGCTGGGTGGCTTATAAACAACACAGAATTATTTCGTATAGTTCTGGAGGTTGGCAGGTCCAAAATCAAGGCACCAGCAGATCTGGATCTGGGGTCTGGTGAGGGATCCCTCTCTGGTTTACAGGTGGCGCCTTTTCTCTTTGTTTTACTTAGGCCCTGGCGTCCAGTCGGGACTCCTCTGTTTGCAAGCTGTGACCTTAGGCAAATGGTGTTACTCTCTCTGAGCCTCAGCTTCTCATCTGTAAAATGGACATGACGATATTCACCTGTAGTAGATGCTGTACGAGTCCTTGTCAGTGTAGGGGCAGAAGGGCGTGATACCTTTCCTCACCCACCATAAGGGTCCTCACGTGGTGGGAGGGGCTCGCCGGCTCTCTGGACTCTTTTATAAGGAAACTAATCACATTCATGAGGGTGGAGCCCTCAAGACCTAATCAACCTGCAAGGGCCCCACCTTCTAATGTCAACACATTATGCATTAGGTTTCAACGTAGGGATCTTGGGGAGATACAATCAGCCCGAAGCACCATCCACTTCAAGAAATAGGACTTGGGCCAGCAACCCGCAGTCCCTTTCACCCTCCCAACTGCTGCCCTCCCTTCTTGCTTTTCTTTATAGTTCTACGACCCAGGCGTCCCCCCGATCCCAAATGCTCTTGTGAACTTTATATACGTGGAATCTTACGTGCAGCATCCTTTTGTGTCCGGCTGCTCTCACTCAGCATTCACAAAATATCGTCCACAAACATGTTCTCCTCTGTGTGACACTGACTTACCACAGTCTTGTCATTCTACTGTCAGTGGCTGTGTGGGTTCTTTCCATTTTTTATAATTAGGAATAGTGCTGCTATGACATTTGTGTATGTATTTCTTGTTTCGTACATATGCATTTTTGTCAGGTAAGTAATGGTTAGTTTCCTAGGGCTTCCATAACTAAGTACCACAAACTGGGTGACTTAATGGAAATTTATTCTCTCACAGTTCTGGAGGCTACAGGTCTGAGATCGAGGTGTCAGCAGGGCTATGAGCCCTCTGAGACTCTGGGTGGAATCCTTCTTGGTGGAAGCAAGGAGTGTCCGTCCCTGCTGTCCTTTGGCATGCGGCTCCCTGGCTCCTGTCTGTGCCTCCATCTTCCGTGGCGTTCGTCCCCTGTATCTTCACTTGTCTCCTTACAAAGCACACCAGTCATATTATTAACAGATTAAGGGCCGGCCCTACCCTAGTACGACTTCATCTTCATTAATTACACCTGCAACCACTCTAGCTTTACATAAGGTCATATTCTGAGGTACTGAGGTTTAGGACTTAAACATGTCTTTTGGAGGGGACCGATTCAACCTGTAACGACAACTAAGAGGAGTGGCTGAGTTGTCTTAGCAGATCCGGAGAAAGGACTTGGGTGCGGATGACTTGTGCTGTGGTGTCAGGAAGCGCAGCTGAGGGTAGGGCTGGGTTGGGTTCGCGTGAGGCAAGCGAGGTGTCTGGGTGCAAACTGGAGGAGGACGCCCTCTCGGGGCTGTGCTCCAGGTGCCTGACTCCCCCAACCATTTTGGCACCAGGATCCAGTTTCATGGAAGACAAGTTTTCCACGGACCTTGGAGCAGGGCAGTGCTGCGGAGCTCTGCGGCCTGGTCCCTAACAGGCCACGGACTGGTACCGGTCTGCGTCCTGGGGTTTGGGGACCGCAGCTCTAAAGCACTTTGTAGAATGTGCCTCCACTTGTCCCGCAGAAGGATGGGAACGCTGGGCATAGGTTGCCCCTGGGGGCGCTAAATCCCCTGTCCTGTGGGCTGCTCCGCACTGGAGCAAGGTCCCAGGTGGGGAAGCAGGCAGACGCATGTGCTTGACGGGGGACACTGCCAGAGGGCCAGGAGCTGTCCCCTGCAGGTCAGGTGAAGTCAGGCTGAAGGCATTGGAGGGAGGAAGCACCAGCGTCTGCCGCGACCCATCCCCACCATCGCTCAGACCCCTCATTCCCGGCACTGACTCGCCTGTAACCGATTCTTCAAGGCCATGATCTCTTAAAAATGACCCAGAATGTGAGAGTTAGTGGAACGAGCTACAATCTCCACTGCTACAGCCGAGCTCGAGGCCGGGTTCGACGTCATCTTCTCCTTTCTCAACCCTCCATTCTGCACCACGCCGCTCTTCCCAGCACCTCAGGCCCAGGTTGCTCGCCCAGACAGAAGACTCGGCCCTTCATTCCTAAAGAGTCTGAGCCACCTTGTCAGGCTGTGGTAGCTCGAATGCCATTCACAGTATCCCAGAGAGGGGAGTCCCCCAAATTCTAGACATCCGACTCCCTGCCCCCATCCTGCAGCAGAGTCAGGGTTGTTGCCCCTGAGTTAGGAACTCCTTTCTTTGCCTACTGGTCTACCAGCGTTAGCAGCCCTGTAAATATTTAAGACACATCGATTGCAGCCTTTTGAGAAACTGAGGCGGAGTACTCGGCCAAGACATACCTGGGCTCCTGATCCACAGACACAGTGAGAAAATGCGTGTTGCTTTAAGCTGCAGATTTGGGAGTAATCTGTTGCACAACAATAAATAATACACAAGGGATGTGTAATCCTCCCCTCAGAGTCCAAGCTCAGCTGGGTGTAGCACAGTGTAGCAGAAAGCGTATGGGTTTTTGAATCAGATAAACTGAGAATTCCACTTCTACTATATACTAAGTTATTTAACATTACTCAGTCTCAGTTTCCTCACCTGCCAAATGAAGATGATTAAATCCACCTCTTAGAGGTGCTGTGCTCATGTGATATAAAGCGAAATTTTCAGTATGTCTGGTACAAGTACATACATGCAGTTTCCTTCCTTCCCTTCTCTTTAAAAAGCCATCTGGCCCATCGTGCCCTTTGCGTATGCTGATCATACTTCCTAGGTAACATCAGGATATATCACGTAGCAATGGGTTAGAACATTTGACATGGAAAATCTTGGAATTCAGGACATCTAGCTGCCAAACCATTGTACCACTGTCCCTTTATTTTTTGGACAGGTATTAAAAACCGCCATGCTCAATATCTGGATTCTTTACCTGCCCCCTTGTTAGGCCACCATTGTGCATTACCATGAGTCAGACATTTCATGTCAATAGCAGCTGAGCTGTGTAGGGCCGATTTCACTGTCAACGCACAGGACTCCCTTCAAACTAAGCCTTTACAACTTTTGTCGTTGCTGCTGGAAGTGAACGCGCAGAGGTAAAGTCATCTCCCACTGCCCACGTCTGCTGTGGATGTCAGCTGCAACGTGGGAGGAGGCCCTTGAGATTAGAGGGCAGCCTGGCAAGGCGGGATTTGGAGTTGGAAGATGGGGCTGGAACTCTCTCTTACCTTAGCTATAGGTTCCTTGGCAAGTCATTTCCTGTTTTGTGTTTTTCCCCGCTTGTAAAATGGGAGTAAGAATACCTCCTGGCATCACTTTGCATTATATTGAATATTTGGGGAAGCATTTAGAAATTAGTAGGTACTCAATACATTAAAAAAAAGTATTTTTCATGCTAAGGGGTCGACTGGTGGGGTGGCTGGACACCGATGTTTATTGCTACTCAAAAGTGTGGTCCAGTGACCAGAGCATTGGCATTGCCTGGGAACTTTTCAGAAATTGAGAATCTTGAGCGCTACTCATCCTAGACCTACTGAATCAGAACCTGCATTTCCACAAGATCCTCAGTGATTCAGAGTCTGAGGATCTGAAATTCTGCATTTCTAAGAAGCTCCACGTGAGTTGTAGTCACAGATAAGCAGCTGCAAAGAGGTGGGATGTTGATGACAGACTGACAGAGATGGCTTTGCAAAGGTTCGTTGCATCCAGGTAGGAGTGACTTCCTCTTGGCATGAAATTAAGCTCCCAAGAGGACTTGCTCTAGCACAGACAGGCCAAACCACTAATCTGAATAAATAAGCATCAATTTTATTGAATCATGAATAATTTAAGACTGGTACAATCATCAGCTTTATTCTCTATGACATGGGGCATGATGTCCAGCAGATCATTGGCAAATCCAAAAACCTCATGACAAATGAAAATTAAATAGGGAGGGTGGGAAGGAGGACGGGGAGGGAGGATGGAAACATACCGTACACAAAATACTCGATTCCTAGTTTTCTCTTTAAAAATGGCTAGAAAAAATTCATCAAAATGCAGCACTTTAATCAATTATTTACAATTTCTATGTTACAATGAAAAATGTACATCTTATAGAACATATTTCATAAACCGCTCCACTGGAAACAACTAGATCAAAACAGCAAACCTTCCATGGAATATCCACAAAGTTGGATTATTTTTTCCTTTTGAAGTAGAATCGCCACAAATTTGAATACACAGAATTTTGAAGTTTAAGAATCAAGCAATAAAATAAAATGTCCCCAAGGTACAACAAAGGTCTAGGCAAGTCTTGTTCTTTGTCCCACCCCACCCCCAACCAACCTTAAATTAAAAGGTATTCCCATCTCATTTATGGCCTGGATAATTCTTGGCAGTTTGGGAAGAAAACTTTTGGCTTCCATTGTTAACTCAACATAAATGTTGCATAGAATTTCATACATTTCAAAATTAGCCGAACTGTAGAAAAAGGCAAAATGGAAGCATTTCGGACAAAGCGCTAAATGAGTACAAAGTCACTTTGTCAAATGTGAGTGACACTAACGTAAAAATATGACCAAAATAAGAAATGTGCATATTAGACAACCCTGCTTCCCGAAACTTTAGGAAGGACACTGAGTTGTGAGTCATACAAGGGCTACGCTACTTGAAATCACTGTTCACCAATCGGGCTGCACCAGGTACTGAGGTCTTGGTTCTGAGCCTGGACCCAGTGGGAGGGAAGTCTGTGGAAGAGGGGACAAGAGAGGATGTCACGGAAAAAATACAAAAGGTTTCAAACGATGTTGGCAGGTGTCTACTCACAAGATGACTGGGAAAACTGCCCACGAGAAGGAGTGGATTTCACCTCCTCTCAAATTCACAGTACTAGAGTGTAAGGTCATTGCTGGGAGACAGATTGACAAGGGCCACCCTTCAGGTTTCTCAGAAGTCTCAGGGCTTGGCCCCCTGGTCACAGGTTAAATATATGGTTTAAAACTTTTATTGAAAACAAAAACAGAACAAGACACACTCACACCCAGATGACTAACGAAGGCTAAGCAGAATAGTCTGAGTTTACTGAGATGAAAGCAGGGATAGTGTTGAAAGGTTTTCCATTCACCAGTTAGGGGACACAGCTCCCTCTTCCTTTCAAAGAGGAAGAACATGGTGTCATCCAATGTGAAGTGAGCAGTTTCGGGTCAAGCTCTTATGGTAAGAAAACAAGAAAAAAAAAAGCCAAGAGACAAACCTTCAGAAATAGAAATGCAAAAGATGGCATAAAAACCCTGAAAAAACAGAGACGCCCTCACTGGGGTCCAATAAAGATTCTCTTTATACAACAGAAATGAACAACTCAAAGATTTATCATACTTTTAAAGAAAATGCCAGTATGTTGAAAGCACAGCAGACTGGGTTTCTATTAGGGCAAGTACCAGCAATGTTGTGTAGGCTAGTAGGAACTTTTGCCTTTTCCTGCAGGAGAAAGATCATCGTCCAGTCAGGGTGTTACTTGGAGACTGTTAAGAACCTAAAAATGGATTTTTATTTTATTTTTTGTCTTTTTCTTTTTCCCATGGTCACGCACCCAACACAGATGAGTCTCTTGGATGAGAAAAGTCACAGCAACTTGAGTTCTGCTGATGAGTAGATGACTTTTTAGCCCTGTTTGTTTCGATGGGGAAAACAAAAAAAAGAAAAAAGAAAAACTAACCTCAGGCAGGCACGACACTCATGTACATGAACACGGTTAGTACAAAACCAGTAAGGCATCACTTTGGGAAGGTCAGCACCGAAGAGGTCAGGCAAGGCTCGTCCAGACGGGGCTTCTGGGGTGGGGGGAGCAGCCACCCCACCCCTGCTGAGCTGCGTCACGTTGGTTCTGAGGAAAGTGCAAGTCTGTCGTGAGGTGACCTCATCACCCCACCTGGAGTTGGGGCTGGGATGCCTGAGGGGTTGGCGTGTCTGCTCGACCCTCAAGGACGAGGAGGAAAGGCAAGGTCCATGGCTCACCCACATGTCGAGGACCGGGTCCTCACCCCTTGTGAAGGACACGAATGCCCCCAGCCCCAGCAGTAGGAGGCGAGTGCGTAGGACTGTGAGGATGGACAACGAAAAACAAAACGGAGCAGGACCAAACCAAAACTCAACTCCTGCGGTTCTCACTTTCACCAAAGGATTGATTCTGACCGAGAGTGGAAGGAGAAAAATCTTCCAAAAAAAATATCAATGCATCAGAAAGGGAGAAACTCAACCTCATTTTAAAGGGATAATCAGTTCTCCAAAGTAGAACAATTCTCACTATACACAGTGTTTGCAGAAAAAAAACCTGATTCATTTATATATAATAAGGAAAGAGATACATGCTGTTCTGCATTTATGGCCACATCCACACGCTCACATTCTCACTCCTTCACTCACTCTCATGGATTCACCGGGGGCTGATGGACCTGACGGGGTGCTCGAATTAGTACAGGCAAAGTACCTCTCGGGTAAGGAGAGCACCATATAAAAAAACAATAAAGCACGATTTATTTTCTCCTAAGGTTTCCCTGTGTCGTAGCTCTGTAGTGTGCTGAGTAGGACCAAAGCCAGCGCCGTAGTTAGCACCAGTTCCCTCTGTGGCCGCGAGGGTGGGTCGGCGTGGCTGGGATAGCCGGGCTGGGGGTCTGTGTGAGGGGAAGCCGTGCTGTCTACGTTTCCAACGTTGCTCCAGTCTCTTCTGTCTCTGGGCAGCTCGTGGCAGGATGCTGTTTGGTTTCAGAGCTTCCTGTGGGTTCTATTTTTTTTTTCTTTTCGTTTCAACGGTGATGATCCTTTCCCGAGAAGTATCTTCAGTGTCTTAGGGAGGTCACAGCAACAAGGCAAAAACAATAATTAAAGTAAAACAGAAGGTAGTGCAGTTCTCACTGTGGGGAAGTGGTCCCCAGGCGGCTGGCCCGGGATGCCTGCACCCAGGTCGAGGCTGGAGGACGAGGGGTCTTGGTATTCCTGCAGCGCTAAGGCTGCGGCCGGGGGCTGGCTCAGGAAGTCATCTTCGGGGTGACGTGGAGGATGCAGGTGGAGGGGGCAGGGAGGAAAGGAGGGGGCAGCCTCCATGGCTGGGCCCCTGTCACAGAGTGGACTCCAAGGACGAATCCAGGATGTCGTCGTGATGGCTGTTACTGTTGGAGTCGCTGTCGTAGCTCTGGGGGCTGGAGTAGTTGGCCGCCTCCTGCAGTCTCATCAACATGTTCATCTGGGGGAAGAGTGAAGCAGCATGAGCAGCTCTCAGTCTAGCTAGCCACCACCCTGGCCTCTGAGACGCTCGCGCCGCCTGCTTCAGGCTCACCTGGGATTGTAGCCCGGCAGGGAGGCAACAGACAAGAGCAAGGACCAGGCTTCCCGGGTTCGAACCCCGGCTCCACCACTTACTAGCTGCGTGACCTTGGAAGAAGTTACTTAACCTCTTTGTGCTTGTTTCTTTTTTCTTTTCTTTTTTTGTTGATCATGTCTCACTGTAACCCTGATCTCCTGGGCTCAAGTGATCCTGCCACCTCAGCCTCCTGATGTGCTTGTTTCTTTATTGGTCAAATGTGAATAATAGTACCTGTCTTACAATGTTATGGTGTGGATTAACTTAATATATGCAGAGCATGGAAAACTAAATAGAAAGCTCTCTATAAATGATATTTATTTGGGAGGGGCACACCTTACCCCAGCACAGGCCCCAGGTTGAGTAAAGACACTGGCCAAGCATCCCTGCTGCTGGGACACGTGCATCAGCACTGCTGACAACGAAAGCACCCTCCTCCCCGCCTTCAGCGAGCATCAAGCCCATCTGTACTCCTGGCTCCGGGGAGAGGTCAGACTAGAGCCAACAGGGCTCCACCTCCCGCCAGAGCTGGAGGGAGATGAGGGAGAACACCAGTTACATGCAGAGTGTGGAGGGGCCTGGGCTACGATTCAGGGCCCTTTGGGCAAGTTGCCTAAAGTCTCTGAGCCATCAGTTCCCCATCTGTAGAACAGGGAGAACAGCAGTGCCTCTCTTATAGGGAATAAAATGACATAATGTGTATTATTAAACTCTTACAGAGGGGCTGGCCTGGCACATAGTAAGTACTTAATAAATATGATATTATCATCATCTAACTTAAAGAGAAGAGTCTAGAGACAGTGTTCTTTCCTGGTTTACATTCTATTGGTTGTTTGCTTGGGAGTGGGGAAGAGGAACTAAAAATTACTTTTACTTATAACCATAAATTGTGTGTATTTTATATTTTACATTGCAAGTAAGTTAGGAAGATAGGGTCTCTCTGGGCTACAGCCAGGTGTGCCGCAAATGGGCATAGAATCTGGCTGCTTCCTGGCCAGCTGCCCCTCAGGCTGCCTTGCAGTCCACCCAGATGAGTCTGGCCTCAGGAGCACCACCGTCTGGTGTCCATCTGCACAGCCACAGCCAGGGGAGAGATGGAGCTGAAGTACAATAGACAATCCTTGGCATCTGGGGTTATTTAGTCACTCATCAAACATTCCCAGCCTATCTATAGTATATGGTTCCAGAACAAAAACAAGTCAGTCCCGTTTTCATGAATGTCTCAGTCTCATGAGGGAGAGAGATTAACAAATACTAGAGCTAGTCAGACAGAACAGAATTTAGGAGAAATACCAAATATCTAGGAGTTGGAAGGAGAATTCTGTGTCACTGTTCTAAGAACCCTAGGTCTTACCTAAGCACCTCTGTGTCCAATGAGTGATACAAATATTACTGGCTAAGCAAAGACTAAGCATGGGCTAGCCATTCTTTTCTCTAGATATCCTAAATTCCATTTTTATGACATTAAGACCGCATGAGCTTGCCCCCACCAAAAATACCTCCATGACCGTGGCTTTCAGCAATGGTTAACATTAGAAATGGCTGTTTAAAGTACACTTCTTTCCCTTGTAAGACCATTGTTGTAAATACTGCACACTCGCACATGGCAACACAAACAATAAATCCTTTAAAAGTATAGTTCCTGCCAAAATCTGCAATAGGATCACGGTTATATCCCACCAATCAGCAGGATGGCAGACAACTCAAATCACGTATTATTTTTTTTAATCTAGTGAATCGATGAGCTGCTAGGCATAGAATAGTGAATCGGTTGTCTTTTAATCCTGCTGTATCTCTTATGAATATTTTCTTTGGTTAGGTAATGCAAAAAATATTCTCTGTTGTGTTTTTCTTTTTGTCATAGCTGCCAAGGAAGCTTGAGGCTGAATTTAGGGCATGATAATAGTTGTGTAACCATAGGAGATTTTGGTATATTTGCTTCCTTCTCATGGCTTTTGATTTGTTAGGTCTAACTTAGTGGTACGACTAAGTATGGGTCTTCTATTGGTAGAGAGTATTATAGTTCATTAGAAATGCTCTTGTTACTGGCCCAGGTGCTTCTTAAAGGAGTCTGAGACCAGCCTGAGCAAGAGCAAGACCGCATCTCTACTAAATGTAGAAAAATTAGCCAGGTGTGGTGGCATGCGCCTGTAGTCCTTGCTCCTTGGGAGGCTCAGGCAGGAGGATGGCTTGAGCCCAGGAGTTTGAGGTTGCAGTGAGCTATGATGACAACACTGCATTCTAGCTGGGGCAACAGAGTAAGACTATCTCAAAGAAAAAAAAGGGGGGGGGGCTCTATTGATCTAGCAATGACAGAGTAAATAAGCATGAGGACTTCACTCATCTCACTGGCTGTGGGATCTGTATTCAGGCCTGTCTACCCTCTGTGAGTCCTTGAGTACCTTCTGCTCTCAGACTGCTCCCTGCCTGTACTCCTCATCATTTGGCTTGGGCTTCCGGTCCTTGGCAATCTCTTCCTCTGCTCGGTTATTAGTGGGAGAGATCAAAGGAGCAGCAAAATGCTTGATAAAGGTGGCATCACAAAGCAGAGGGCAAGGAATTGTGTAGAGACAATAGGTGTAGGAACATTTAGAAGGAAAAATCAAATTCTTAACCTTTTACCTAATATCAGAAAAATTTCAGAGGGGTTAAAGGCTTTAGTGAAAAACTAAAACCATGGAAGAAAATATTGACAAAAACAGCCCTAACCTTGGGGTGGATCCAGCCTTCCAAGGCAAGGCCAGGCTTAGTCACCTTCGTATTCGGAAAGTGCCTTGCATCACCCCCAATACACAGTAAGTGCCCAGTGAATGCTGAGCTGCCCTGGGAGCGGAGGACTCACCAGCGGGTCTCCTTCAGCGTCACTGGGGGGCACCTGCTTGCTTGTCGACCCCTCCCGAGGCATGGAGTAGCCATCGAAGCCGACGTCCTCAGGCCGTAGCTGCAGTAGGGGAGGCCACTCGTGCTGCTGTGGGCTGGCTGCCCATGGATAGGTGTCCATCACCCACTTGGCAGGATCCTCCCAGGGGGTGCGCCTTCCATAGAGCTGAAAACAGGCAAAGAAGGAACGGTCTGGAAGTGGGCCAAGACCTCTCTTGCAGCTCAAATCCTGGAGCTTTCTGAAAAAGTCCCCACACTCAGCTTTACATCTTCCCTGATGGAGTAATTCCACTTCCGGAATGCTAGCCTAAGGAAGTCATCCAAGATGCAGACAGCTCAAGGTGCTAAGACCAAAGGCAGCAGAACCGAGTGGTCAAGAGCACAGGCTTTGGAGTCAGGCTGATCTGGGTTCACGTCTCAGCTCTGCCACTGACTCCCTGTGTAACCCTAAACTCTGAGCCTTGGTGATCCAATTTAAAAAATTGGCTCTGGGGAAAAAACCAACCATCTGATTGGAAGCATTTGCCAATTTCCATGGTGTAAATACTCTCACCATGGCCAATTTCAGACTATCACCATGATGTCACTGAACGTGGAATTGGAAAGAGGAGCTCACGAGCCAGCTCTAGTACCCCATTGGGTGCATCCACCCAAGAATACCTCCCGCACAAACTGGGTGCTGGACACCAAAACTGCTGGCAGGTCGTAAATGGCCCTGGCTCAATAAAACCCCATTTCTTGAAGTGGGTCTCACTCTCAGAGCCCCTCCGTAGACTCACTGGTCCCTTTCAGAATAGCTAATTGCTAACAGAGGTTGCATGTTGGTAGTGGAATTATGAGGGCTTCTCCTCTGCCATGTGTTTCTCAAAATTGTCCATGGTAACTAATTAGCTCTTAAAATGGTAAACTGTGTCATCACTTAATTTTATAATAAGACCAACACCACGCCTCCAAACTCCTTTCATTCCTCCCTTCCTTCCTTCCCTCCTTTCTTTCTCTCTATCTCTCCCTTTCCTTCCTTCCTTTCTTCCTTCTTTCCTTCCTCCCTCCCTCCCTCCCTCCCTCTTTTTCTTAAGACTAAGTATCCGATGATAGAATGATTTTAGTGACCCTTACTGGCAAATTCAAGAAATATATAGTCTTTAAAGAACAAAAACCTAGGCTGGGCCACTTCCCAAGGTGAGGCTCTCTACATTACGCAGCTAATGTGTTGTCTTCTTATCTTTTTTCTTTAACAACATCTTACTGCTCACTGTGTGCCAGGTACTGTGACAAGTGCTTTACAAATGTCTTGTTTAACCACCACGTGACTCGGAGAGGAAGTGTTACCCCACGTGACGTATGGATGAGGAGGGGCCCAGCGAGGAGAGGAGCCGGAATGGAAACCAAGTCTGTCCAATTCCATGGACCGTGGTGTGCTCCATGAGGCCCACATGGCAGCACATGCTCCCAGCCAGGGCAGGGTCACCTGTCGTTCTGAAAAGCATCCCCTCTACAGAGGGCCTCAGGGTACAAAGATTGGAGACTTCTACACCATAACACTGCAGTGGGGCCCTGGGCTGCACACACCCTGGCTGCAGGCCTGTCTGTCTGCTCTCTCCAGCCTCCCAGGAATCCCACAGCGCAGAGGGGACTCTGAACAAGACGCCAACAGCAGAACAGAGCTGAGCTCTGAACCCACTAAATGACATCTTTCTGAGTAGAAGAAGCTGGGGCCACCTAGGCCCACCCCCTCATTTCCCAGATGGGGAAACTGAGGCCTAAAGAGCAGAGCCAGTTGTAAAAGGTTATGGAGTAGAGTCCAGTTCGAACCTAGGACCTCCGCGCCTTTGTCTGGACCTTTCCCCTCTCCACACCTCCCAGACTGACGCCACTTTGAACTACTCTGGGCTCGAGCCACGGGACTCAGCCACACCTGAAGCAGCAAGACGCAGGCCAGGCTGTTCACTGGACGGCAGCATGTCGGCCTGTGCTAGGCTCGCTGTCCACTCTCCCACAATCGCCTGTGCCACCTTGGGCCTCTAGGTATGATTTCTGTCAGGGACGCTGGTCCCCGCCCCGTCCCAGCTGGGCCCATCTCTCTGCATGAGCGGCTGCTGCCTCCTCCACTCAAGACACACATAGCTTCCTGTGACTACACCGCTTTCCCAGGTGCCAGCACCCCTCCCGTCTGGCGTGCTGGCCCAGTCTGTTGCTAAATCTTCCTTTGGCCTGGGGCAGTAGTGAGTCTCAGGCCTGGGAATTCAGTCTGGCATTCCCAGTCCAGGCAGGAAGGGATCACGGGAAGGGGTGCGTGTCTGTGTGCATGTGTGTGTGTGCGTGTGTGTCAGGGAAAGAAAACACAGAAGACAGGTGTAGACAGTGGAAGAAGGCTGTTCCAGATTAGAAACACTCCTGCAGTTTCTAGAAGCTTCTCCCTCCAAGAGCTTTCCCTGTGGCACTGGACTGTCCTTCCCAAGCCAGACTTCACAGGGGGCTGAGGCAAACCCCCACTCTGACAGCTACGGCTTCTGTCTCCACGCCCAGCCTAGAGGAGGAGACACCTGGGGCTGCAGAACCACAGGGCCCCCGAACCCTCGCAGCTTGGCAAGTCCTCAGAGATTATGTGGCCCAGCAGTTTTCAAACATTTGCTCTTCATTCCTGACCCCACCTAAGTAGTTTGGGGAACTTTTAGGCTTCACAGAAACTAGCCTGAAAAAGCACTCTTCTAGTCCAAACCTGTCAGTTTGCAGGTGGGGAACCTGAAGCCTCACCCCGGATCTCGGAGCAGGCTGGACAATCTTGCCAGTGGCCCCGTGCTCACCCCCACTCCCTTCCCATTTCCTGCAGGCACCAGGCCTGCCCCGGGCACGGAGGCCTCTGTGGACATTAGACATTTTGGCAAGTGTTTCCAATGACAACTCCAAATGGGGAACAAGACTAGGGACTGAGTCATAAGACAAATGCGCGTTAGGCACATACTAACATCATCTGCAAGAACAGAAAATATTTTTATAAGCTTCCCCACTTGCCACTGGACGTGTTCGAGTCCGGGTGATGAACAGCTGGGTAAGTACAGTGGCAGCAAAGGAAACATCATAAAGCTCCTTAGTTCCATGGCAGGGTCCTGAAGGCAGCAGCAGAGACAGCTGGACGACAGACACGCAGGGCAGGACACACACTTTCCCCAAGGCAGGAAGGAACCTGGCATCCGCACTGGGTCAGGAAGAACGGGAACAGGACCACAGGGAGCCAAGACCTGGGCCACTGCGAGCCTTCTGACTCTGTGGGATGCATGGGGCTTCCGGGAGCACCATGTGTATCACACGAGGACACGTCAAGGTACACATTCAGGAAGCTCCTCCAAGCACGTGCACACACAAAGACACTAATCCTAGGACATCGGTGCCTAAACTTGCAAAGCTGACATCCACTAGGGGGCGACACCACACTTCCTCCAGGCATGGATGTGCCTGTCCAACGGGCGCCATCCTTACCGCCTGATTGCTGCCGGCCTCCTCATGTTCCCGCCAAGTCCGAACCACCATGGGCAGCCCTCCCTCCCAGCTCCCGGTGCGTGGCAGCCCTGTCAGAACCCAGTCTAGGGACCCCACCTCTACTCATCTTACAACCCTGGCCAAGGGATTACTTGCCCTGAACTGAAGTGTGCTCACTTCATGGCCACCTACCCGAGTCAGTGCAGGAGCAGGTGACCCTGTACTGCACGGCCCAGCACACAGTCCGCATGGACCCAAAGTAACACCAAAGAGAGCAGGGACTTTTAATTATTTTTTAAATTTCAAAAATCTTTTTGTCAACTTCAAAATATAAAATACATTCATCCCCTGAGCCACCTGAGGCTTCTCGGAGGAGGTATGTTGAGCCCTCGGACAGCCTGAAAATAACACAGGTAGCCGAGGAGTAACCATGGGCTGCAATGCTCGTGTCATCCTACCTGCTGAGTGCGTTTTGTGCTTGGTAAGGTGCAAGAATGGCTGCGAGCCTTGGTCTCCTCCTCTGGGAGACACTCACTGGGCTGTTACAACCAAATGTGATCATATGTGTCAGGGCCCTAGCACGGCGCCCGGCAAGTAGCAGGCCCTCCATAAATGTCAGCGAACATTCCTTCAAAACCAGGGGCAGGAAGAACACAGCGGGCTTCCGCATGAATTAGCAGATTCGATGAGGTCTCCTGGGCCCACTGGGATGGTGAGGTCATAGGGTTGGCGTGGGGTGGCTTGCTTTGAGCCACTTGGTAGGATGTGAACTCTGGCTGCCTCCCGCTGCTGCTCCACACTTGTGCAAAACTGTCCTTTAAATGACCTCACGGCACAGGGAAGCAATGACTTTTCCTGCCTCACACTGAACTGGTGAGTCTCATGAGACTGCAGCATGTCTCTGTCCCTGCCCCAGATGGGCTGTTCCAAGTCCTTTCAACCTGTGAGCTCACTTGCTCTGGGTGGGAAGGAGAGCCAATGCTACTCTATGTTAAACTCCATCCGCAAACGCTCCGGGATGAGAAAGGAAATCTCTTCCCATCCAGTGGGCCCCACCTTCACAGCCATGCCCAGAAAGCTGCCTTCTAGGTTTAGGTCCAAAAGAGCTGGGTCTTGGCACCGCCAGCTGTTGGTCACCACAAGGGGCCTGCTCACGTGCAGCTCAGGCTGGAGGCCGGACAGGCTTTCCCTCCAGGTTATGCCTCCAGGGGAGGCCTTTATTCAGCAGAGCCCAAGAGTTCTTCCAAGTGACTCTGAGATCACCGTCCCCTCCCCCCACCAGAAGATGCATTTGGAGCAGAGGAAACAAGTGCACAAACAGTGCACCTCCTCCACCTGCAATTCCTTCTGCCTCTCTCGAGAAGCTTGGGTTTCTCAGAGGTGCTGGGCCTGGCAGCCACCTGGGAGCCACCAGTTGAGAACACAGGAGAGACAGACTGCAAGAATGCAGCAGTGGGGGATGCTTCCACTGGCTCCCCAAAATAAGAATGACTGGGTGGCTGTTTGGGTTTGTGGTGTAACAAACCCGCCTGATTAGAAACTAAATTATGGTCAATTTATCCAGGCCTGCAACTTTATCTACCTAGGGAGATTCTACTGCAAAGATCTCACCGTTCATACCTTCTTTTATGAAAGCAACATTCAGTAAGAGCACTGCTAACTCACGATTTGGGGCCAGCCAAAGACTGCCTAATTTCATACTTCTCTCTGCCGTCACAATACACTTTATTTCAACAAAGTGGTTTGAATTTGTAGCATCGATGCTCCAGCTCAATGACATACCAATTACAAGAGGCGCAATGCCTTTCTTTTCAGGTTCTTTTTGTCCTGAATGCCCCTGAAGACCATCACAGGTAAAAAGCAGTTGAATATTCCCCAGGTTCAGCCAAATATGCAGAGATGACAAGTAGACCAAAGCAATTAACGTGTACTGTCACACACGTGTTGTGGGTACACACCGCTCCTGCTCCTGCTGCACGCCCACGACAGCATCTCGTGTCTCCCATTGCCCAGGACTGAGGAAACAAAGCCACCCTTGGAAACCTGGCTGCAAAACTGGTTCCTGGATTATTCAGCTGTGCATGATGCCTGCTAATTACTCTAATTACTCCCCGTGAGTGCTGAAAGCCTACGGAACTTCTCATGCGCCTCCAGGCGCAACAATAAAACTGTCCCAAGCTCCAATTTAATGGTAAGCTCCTAGTTAAACTCTGGACTGAGTGAGAAGTAAAGAATTTGTGCTTTTTAACTGCTGCCAGGCAGGAAGGACTTGCAGCCCTGCGGGCCCCAAAGTCACCCGTGCAGGGTCCTGATGTCAGGGAGTGAGTGCCATGGGACCTAAGGACTAAGAACCCGGAATTTGACCCAGAAGGCACGTATTCGAATCCCAGATCCTTTGAGTTTCTCTTCTATAACGTTAGGCAGCATGTCATTTATTCTCTCTGAGCCTCAATTTTTCTCTCTTAAAAAATGGAGACCAAAAAAAAATCTCTGTCCAAGTCCCAGGATTAATCCAGAGCTTGAACCAAATAGCAGATAGGAGAACACTTTGTAAACTGTGAAGTGTATGGTTCCACTTCTTGTGCACTTACTATGCCAAGCACTTTATGGCCATGATTTCATTTAATCCTTGCAACAACTCTTTGTGGAGAACATCAATGACGCACTGAGGCACAGAGAGGCTAAGCGACTTGGCTGGGGTCACACAGCTGATAAGCGGCAGAGCCAGGATTTGCAGCCAAGTGTTCCTACACTGTGCTAGACTGATGACCTGGGGGGTGAGGGACTGTCACCTCATGTCAGATTCCTGAAGGAGGAGATAAAGACTACACATCTGTTCCCCGGAACAGCCCCCCTCAACTTTGAGGAAGCCAGCAGGTGCCTCTCACCTGGAGTCCTTCTCTCACAGCTTCTAGGAGATAGGGGATAATGGAGTAGTTCCACAAGTCAGTGAACCACACTCTCGAGCCATCCACGTCGATGGGGCATGACAGGAAGAGCCGAGGGCCTGAGGGGCACAGTGAAAATATGTTAGAGCTGAAGCCATGGTCCGAGCACCCCCAGGGGAAGGACGCCTTTGCTCTGAGCAATGGCAGGCAGATGGCAGACTGTACCTGCAAAGCGCTGTCCTGGCTGGGGCCCTGAGGACAGCCCTCTGGGAAGCGAGCGCTCCAGAAGCATCCCCTCCCCGCCAGCCTGCCCTCTCCTACCTGGCCCCCCACCTACCGATGGTGACGTCCGAGGAGCTGTGAGCCTCCAGGAAGCGGTTGAGGTGATGCCAGACCTTGGGAATCCACTCGATGATTTTCACGAGCTCCACATTGCGCACCCGCCCGCTGATCTCCGTTTCCATGAGCTTCCTCCTCAGGAATCGGCCCAGGAAACCCTTCACGGGCTCCGTGTGGTTGGCACAAAGCACCCACCTGGGGGAAGTCAGAAATGCCTTTCAGGATGCTGATGGAGATTGCTGACCTCAAGAACCAAAGCGTGTTAGAAACGGAAGCTCTGTAAGCTAACACAAAAACAGGACTCACTACGTGCCAAATGCCGTTCTAAACATCCTCCATATGTATTAACTCACAATTCCTCTTGGTAACCCTATGATGTGGATGGTACCACCATCCCCATTTTACAGATAGAAATGCTGAGGCACAGCCAGGTTATGGAAATTGTCGAGGATCAAACAGCTAGTTCATAGACAAACTTAGAACCAAGACAGTCCGGCTCCAGAGTCTGAGCTCTAACCACCGGGATAAACTGCCCCTTGTGCTTAGTGCCAGGCTTGTGCTATGGAGCCACAACAGTGACTAAGACACAGTTCTGTTCCCCAGGAGCTCACAGGCTAGTGGATGAGGCAGACAAGCAAAGGGACAGATGAGATCCGACGAAGCCCACGGCGATCGGGCGAGGCTCCTCAGAGGAGGGGACGTTTAGGCTGACACTGGGTGGCTGATGGGGCAGGTAAGGAAAGGTGGGAGCAGGTGCTGGGGAGGGAGTGCAGTGCAGGCTGCAGCCTTTGCAAAGGTGTGGAAACAGCATGGGTATTTGGTGAAACTGCCAGAAGTTCAGTGTCACTGAAGTTTAGACCTGACCTCCCAGCCCAAGGAGGCTGGATTCCATTCTGCAGGCAGTGGGAAGCCACAGAAGGACTTGAAGCACGAGGGTTCGATGGTCAGATGTGCACGCTAGAACGCGCACTCTGGCTGCCACAGTGCAGCGGATGGCCTGGCGTGCTGGTTAGAAGACAATGGCAATGGTGCCCTGGTGATGATGCGGCAGTGATGGGGGAAGAGGAGGAGGGCGGGCTTAAAGGGTATTTCCGGGACAGCATGGACAAGACCAGGACAGCCTGAATGCAGAGGTGAGGCATGCTCTCAGCGCACGGGAGGAGCCGACATTTCTTTGACAGTGACATGCAATCCACTTTCAATAGATCTCCCTCAGAGATGCCTGTGCAGCGGCCAGTGAAGGTGAGCTGAGGGTCCCAGACAGGAGAGGGCCCAGGCCGGGGAGCTGGAGTCAGCTGAGAATTAGGGAAGGGCAAAGGGCGTCTAGCGATGCCAAGGCACACAGCCATACAACCTGAGCGGCGCAGTCCTTCCTCTGCCCTGGCTGCGAGAGAGCACTGGTGTGGTGTTGCAGCAGGGAGGGGAAGACAGGCCACCAAGGAGTCCCAACAGCTGGAACTCGAAGGCCCCGACACCCAGCCATGTGGGGACATTTATAAATAAGAGCTGTCATCGTTCATGTTCACTAGAGACAGAGAGACATGCGGTTGGTAACGGGCAGGGGCAGCAGGGTGCCTACAGCCCCTGTCCAGAGCTGCCTCCCTGACGCTGGCACAGCAGGGCTCAGAGTCAGAGACTCGGGTTCAAATTTCAGCTCTGCCACTGACCTCACAAAGTCACTTAAGTCTCCGAGCCTCAGTTTCCCTATTTGTAAACTGAGAATGCCAAATGTAATTACTTGAGGCTGAAGTGAGGATTAAATGAGTTAAGCTGGGAAAAATACTGAACACAATACCTAGCATAGAATGCACACTTAACAAAGGCTTTTCCATCCTCCCTTTCTTGCTTTCCTTCTTCGTGATGCCACATTTAATTGGAGAAGGGAAGGGAAACTTACCTGAAGTTATGATGAAGCTGCAGGTTGGGGGTAGAAGAGGTAGCCTGGTTCATTGTGCCGATTATGTAAGGGCTGTGGGGGAGAGAAAGGAAAAGAAAGCTTGTGAGTCCAAGAGGAGCCAGAGAACAAGGCGCTCACAGAGGCCTGTGGTGTCTGCGCGTCTAGGCAAGTGGATGCCAGCAGCCTCCCCTGGCCCCCTGGTGTGCGTGCACAGCTCCCCGTTGGGGGTGGCACACTCTCCGGGGGCTATGAGGTCCGGACCTGGCCTTTACCATTTATGGTACTTGCAGTTGAGCAGCCCATTGAAGATCTCGCCCAGAGAGCTGACGTGGTGCAGGTTGTCCAAGATGATGACCAGGGGCATGTCCACAGCGTTGTTCTCACTGTTGCACTGATCGGCCAGGTTGGACAGGTACTGGCGCAGTTCCTGCGGAGAGCAGGGAGAACACGGTGGTGGACACACCCAGGGAAGACTCGCCTGCTCAGGGCCTTCACTTTGCCGGGGCCAGCGCAGGCAGAAAGGCCCTTCACGATGCTGTGCTATGAGCACGCTCTGAGTGCCTGCCTGTTACAGGGCGTCGGCGCGGTGCTCGGGGGACGCGGAGTGGGCATGGGATGAGTAAGGCCTGGTCCTGCCTGCTGCATTCACTAGATGACTGAAAACCTGGAGCTTAGGGCAAGAGCACGGCACTGTGCAGTCACACAGGCATGGTTGTTACTCCTGCTTTACACCACTTCTCGAGAAATGTCACTTTTCTTGATATTTCTTATTATGCCAATCTCCCAGTAGGCTCCTGAAGGCAGGTGTCTTATACATTTCAGTCCCTCTGTGGCATCTGCCTGACAGCCTGTGCTGTCGGATGCCTTCGATCGATCAGAGTAGCAGAGGAGCCGGCCCCACGCCTGCCGATTACTGCCGCGGAGACACAACGAGCAGCGCAGGGGACGCGAGTCTGTACGCACTGGGGAGCTGGGAAGGTCCTGTTGAAAGGGAAGGCTTTGAACTTAACCTTGAAGAATGTGTGGGGCACTGGCTCAGCTGGGACTAGAGCCCAGCCTAGCATGTAGGTGGGGGTGGGGGGGAAAGCCAAAAGAGGAAGAGGAAGAAAAACGGTGCAACAGAGGAAAAGGCTGAAATGGTGAGGTGAGGACCTGCCAGAGAACTCAGAATGTCTGCCTGACGTTACCGCATCTCAATGATAGTTGGTAGCACTTAGAGCCGGCCAGGGCGCTAAGGGCCTTACACACAGGAACTCCTGTAGCCCCTCTAATAACCCTATGAGGTGGGTACTACCATTACCTCCATTTTACAGATGGAGAAGCTGAGGCACACCAAAATCAGGTGACTGGCCTGAGACCGCACAGTGGTAACCAGTGGGGTGGGCTGAGGCTCGGGTGCCTGTCCCAGTGTGGGTCATACCACACCAGCATGTTCCAGACGCTAGCCTGGTTGTGCAGAGGTGACATTTCCTCCACCTCCTACAATCATACACACTCTATGGGCCTCTCTTTTAAATCAAAATATGGCTTGTTAGCAGTAGAAAAAGCCTGCCTTTTTAAGTTACTGGTTCTTTTAGTCCCTCATCACCTTGGGTTCTCGGCCCCAGGCACCTACAAGGAGGACCGCCCTCCCCTACCCAGGCCTGCGGCGAACAGTTGGGGACCATGCTCCGTATGAGGGTGCCCTGCCAAGGGGAGAGTGAGTGGGGGCCGAGATCGTGCCTGGGGAGGCTTCCCTAACTCACACCAAAGCTCTCAACAGAGGGGCTCTGAGCGCTTCTCTCTCATGCTGCCCCTACACCAAAACCACGTGGGGAAGGTGTGGAGGGTGCGGATTCCCAGCCCCACACAACCTAGTGAAGGAGACCATCTAGGAGTGCGGTCTAGCAATCTGCATCTTCAGGAACGTCAGGTGATCCTTAAGATGAAGGAGCCATTTCCAATCTACCTTTGGTCCTCTGGCCCCTCCGCATAGGGCCAAAGTGAATCATCCATCCATTCTCACTGCGTGAGAGAATGAACGGGTCTAAGAAAACACTTTCCAAGCCTTGGCTGGGACTAGGTCAGACTCCATCTGAACAGGTCTCCATCGTAAAGCAGGAGCCACCCTATTTGCTGCTACCATCTGAGAGGTCATAGGCACATGGCTAATCTGCCACAAGCCTGTTTCCTCCTCTGCAAAATAGGGATAGGACAACTACTCCCTTGAAGGTGTTGCATAGAGAAGGCCAGTTTGCTGGTCACAGGGCAAGCAGTCTGTAAATGTGAGCTCCTGTTATTGTTGTTTGTGTTATTGGTGTTATTGCTATTATTGCTCCACAAAAGAAGATTGATTTTATTTTGGAAAATCAGTAACACCTCATAGGCACATGATAAATTGTTGGTAAATTGAAATGGATGTATCTGCAATGATCTTAAAGAACTACTAGCACTGAGCATCATAAATGAACTAGATTGACTTAACCATACATGGAACTCGCTGGGAGGATGTGAGTGAAGCCCTCCTTCCCTGGCGATCTATAACCACCAAAGGAGATGCCTGGAAATGCTGCTTTCCCTTCAGGATGGTGGTGGCGTCAAATGCTCAAAGGGCCAAAAAATGCAGCAGGCTCAAAACGAACTCCTCACCTTGCTGGACTTATGGTCCACGTTAAAAGTGGCGATGACCCCGTCCGTCAACTCCCGTCCCTCTCGAAGCACCATGTACTCTGACAGTCGGTTTGCCAGGTAGGTTTTCCCGGTGCCGCTGGGGCCGGAGAGAATGATCCGCCGGTGCTCCACCAGCAGGGAGACGTAGCGCTGCAGGATAGGCTTTGGGATCAAGGACTCGAACACCAGCGAGTCCAGGCTATTCTCCGCGAGCCCTGCGTTGGAGAGACACAGAAGTGCTTGAAGCCCTGTAGAAAAGGTAGCTCTCTGTGCCTGCTAACTGGGACTGCCAAGACCTGAGGTCCTCCCTTTCCTCGGCAGCTCACTGACTTGAGGTCGCTGCCCACCCAGGGACACTGGGGGCTGAGAGCAACTGCCGCTGCTCCAGGAAGTCACCTCTCTATTCATAAGCACTGTGCACTTCTGGCTCCTGTCTTGGGTGACTTTCCTACATTTAGACTCACCTTGAATATTTGGGCTCTGAGTCCTCATCTGTCCTGTGCAGAATTCATAAGGCCCTGGGCTCTGCTTGCCTGTCTAGATTTACGGATTTACCTGGTATCTGCCCAAACCAAAACTGAGTCTTGTCTACCGTGTCTGCCATAACCCTGGGGTTGCCCCTTCTTCACCCTGTCCTCTCTTGTATGCCAGGCGCCACTGCCATCCACACTAAGATGCACCACGAAGGCAACAGCACTTTTATCTTTAAAATGAGAAAAAACCTAAGGGGGGACCATTTCATTCTGGACCTAGGCTAAGATGCTACATACTGGACCCTGGATCCTCAACAAGTGGAAACTTATCTTTCCCCTTTCCTACCTGGAACAACTTTATTAAATCAGGGTTACTGGCTTTATAAGAGCTAATTTCTTGATACCATCTCCAAGAGAAGACCCATCCAAGGTTAGCTGTCCAGAACCTAAGGTGATTCTGTTTAAAAACTATACCTTTAACAAAATCGGTATAAGTAAAATGTAAACCGAAGGGGGTTTATTGTTTTATAATAGCATCTTCCTTCCACACAATCATTCACTGCAAACAGATCCGCCTGAAATGCATTTATATGCTTGTTTCTAATCTTCTCCTAACCAACGAGTAACCCCTAAAGGCAGTGTCTGTTCTAGAACGACTATGTGAAGGTCCCCAAATGCCTCATCTGCTGGAGAGAGGCCAAAGATTTTCCAGCTACTGAGCTCAGTAAGGCCTACGCTGGCTCAAACCTTTATGCAAAGTATGGAGCTTGGGGTCTTCAGTCTACACTTAATAACCACCACAATAATAAACTCATGAAAAAACCTCTAAGACACCTCTCTCTGCATATATGCTGCTATTTCAGTCTTTTGCCATAAAACCCCCAGGGAGCGACTATTTTGCTGACACGCTCACTTCAGAACACGCAAAGTCCACTCCCTTCCCCTGGTACTGCTGAAGTGAATCACTGCAGCTCATGAAACGCTTTCAGCTCAAATCCTTGAGTGGTTTTTAGTGCCTTGAAGGCATAAGTTTTAAGTACTGCAGGAAGAGAGAAGAGTCAGGTATCACCGAAAGTAAACCCGAGAAGATCCCACGAGATGCTGAAACCTGAAGTGCTGACAACAGCAACGGATCAGGCTCTGCAGGGGGGACATGTGCCACCGGTGGCAGATCATCTTGTTACTGTTTCTACAGAGGTTTGGTCTGATCTCAGCAAGAGGACATTCCTTTGACCCCTCGGTGCTTTGTGATGCTCACCTGTAAAATGAGCAAGCGAACCACGCACGCTCGGCAGCGTGGAGGAAATGCAATTTGAGCACAGGGTGTAAAAGGCTTTCCTTAAAGGGCTCTTGTCATGGACAGCTGTTCCTGTGTGCCTGACACCCCTTTTTGCTTCCCTGTAGAGTGTTACTCTTCTTTCTCCTGGGAGCTCATCCCAGGGGGTTCAAGTGAAGCTGATCCACCCCTCCACCCACCCAGAAGGGTAGGATTGTGACTAGGCTTGTCCAAATTCTCCCTCTGGTCACGATGACAGATTCAGTGATGGGCATTTGATGCATGGTGGGCCAGAGTCACCCCTAATAATTTTCTGTTAACATTTTTCCAGAAGCTAGATGAATGAATCGGGGCTACCAGGGGCCATTTCATCAACCACGTGCGCAAAGCTCAAATAAGCACAGCTGTGATGTCAAGGCTGAGGTGGGCCTGGTCCCAATGACACTGTCTGAGCACCTGGATCTAGCTGTGCTTGAAGTGCACTCCTGGATTCCCAGGTACATGAGCCCGTAAATTTCCTTCTTTGCTATAGCTACTTTCACGTTGGTTTCTGTCACTTGTAGTCCAAGGACACAATTGTGGAATTTCACTTGCCAGGACAAGGCTGTGCGAGGCTTGAGTAACATGTGCCATCTGCCACCTGCAGAGCGAGATCTTAATTCCTGGTGATGGAAAATGCTGGGGGGCTTGTGGAAACCCTACCAACCAGGAAATAACACTTGCATTGGACGGCTGGAAAATTGTGCTGTCAAAACTGCAGTGAAAATCTGTGCCTTTCATGAAAGTTAATAACAGGACAACACAAAGAATGAGCCCAGTACATACAGTGTTTATAAATGTCTATTACTCAGGTAGTTCATAATGCACAGGAAATGATGCGGTTTTGTAATCAAATAAATTTGGAATGCAGTGGACTATACAGCCTTTTTAACAGCAGGAGTTAGGACTTTACAGGATAGAGCCTTTAATGTACCAGTGTACTCCTGTCCCTCTGGCCCCCAAACTCAAATGGGGATAATGATGTAGTTTCCCAGACTTATTTGGCCATGAAACTTTTTTTTCCACAGAGAACTCTGTGAACCTAGAGTTCCAAGGAACACACTTTGGCCTGGGGCTCATGATCTCTGGGTAATGAGGCAATCGGAAGTTCTGGCAGCATTGTGCGTGGGCTAGAGCTGTAGCAGTTTCATCAGGATGCCCACAGTGACTCCTCTGTAGCCTACAGCAAGTTGTGGTTTCCCCATCTTTAGAATGGGACCACGTCCAAGGCTTGCTGGCAAGAGGAATTCATTGGTATTGGTACAGCCCCATTTCAACAGGGTTATTAAGATTTCACCATCTCAGAATCATAAGGCTAATGGGACCTTTTGTTATATAATTGTAGCAATAAACTAAAATTATTTGTTTCCGAAGGTGGTTGAAAAAGTAAAAGACTGTTCAACTTGCTTAGGTAAGAGTAATTGTGGGAGTAGGGGGAAAAAAAAAGCAACCCACATATATATGCACAAACAAAGCTGTGGCCACAATTGACCCTGCCAAGTCACAAAACAAAAACAGCAATTCCTGAAAGCGCCAATCTCTCCAACCAGCCAAATTACCTTTGACAGTCACGGAGATGGTTGTGTTCTCTCCAACCAGATAGCCACAGGGAAGCAGCTCGGGGGTTTCAGAAGTGTTGCTGCGCCTGATTTCCCCGATGCTGTAGCCGAGAACGCTATCTGAATTCAGCCCTAGCTGACTCACCGGGTCGACGTGAATAATGTATTCCTGGAAAAAAACAAAAATAAAGACCCTATCAAAGATGTGGCTAAAATCTGCCCATGACTCATGTTTTCACTGGGTGATTTACGACCATCTTCTCCTCTTTCTCAGATGATGTCTGAGTTGAAATCCAGCCGTGGAAGGAGGGGGAGAAGAGCTGACTTTCTGCAGGGATAATGCCCTAGTATCGCGGGCCTCTTAAAATACAGATTTATTTGGTTAGGGATGGGGAAAAAAATAAACCCCTAACCAGATTGTGGACATTTAGTCTAGATGAACCAAGCATGGAAAAACTAACCTGAGGTCCCCAACCACACAGGAACACTCCGAGCCAAGAGCAACTGCCAATGCTCCAGAAAATCAACGAAAAAGTCATAAGCACAGGAAACCTCTCGACCATCCCCTGCGTGACGCTCAAACATCAAAACGAACCGAAAAAAAACAAAATACAAGGCCGCAACAAAAAAGTCAACAATACATAAGGAACAAGGCAAACCGGGCCTGAAAAGAGAAACGGATCCACCTGAGATCAGCCAAAACAAAAACTGAGGCCAGTAAACAGAACACGAAAGAACACGGGGGATGACCCGGCCACACCACGACCTAGCTGGAATCCCAGTAACGGGCCTTGGTCTCATTTCCTCAACTACTAGGTCATCCCAGCAGCTCTTTTCAGCCCAAATTGTCGTCACTCTAATCCACGGATGGGCCCACTGGCCACCAGCAGAGATGAGCTTTGGCCTGGGTAGGAGAAGCGGTCTGTCCTGAGCTGTTCCTATTTCTTGCCTCGCCGCATTTCTACAGACTGGCGTGCCAAGATGGGGAACAGTCTTTGGTCAAATAACAGAACTTTGTATAAAGCCAGCTGGATCTAGATGCTTAGGAAGAAGACCATGGAGTACTAGTTAAGTCAGGTTTTGAAGTTAGACCAACGTGGTCTAGTTCTAGATCCATGACCTTGGACAAGTACCCCAACACGAGACTCACTTTCTTCACCTTTAAATGGGAAAATACAGGCTTAGCATGGTCTCTGGCAGAAAAGAACGTGGGCTATTATTACTACACAGGGGATATAATTAATGAAGACTATGGTTGTTGACTTCAGGACAATAGAAAAAATGTGCCAAAAGCTTCTTTCAAATTACCTTGTGTTACAAGGTTCACCCTGGTACTCATTAGTTATTTTTCTTGTGGCAAACTCTCAATCTACTGATGTGGTTAGAAAGAATAGAGAAATAAGTATGCCAACATCCTTGACACTGGCCATTGATCAGACACTAATGTCACTTGTAGCCCGAATTGGAGACTCTAGGGTTGGCACAGGATCCTGGGCAAGTCAGATCAAATCCCCCCAAAATGCAGGAGAGAAATCTGATGGCCAAGCCCCAGCCACAGATCACATACCCCAAAGCACATTTAATAAGACACAACTCTAAGGTGAAAAAAGATCTGGGCCATTAGTAATTCACCCCACGAGGATCAAATAATTGCTCAAATGATTCTCACTAGCTGGCCAACCACTGTGAAGGGCAGATAGAAAGAGCTTGGCCAATCACCAGTCGGTACTTACCATCATCCTTCCATTCCCTTGAGGGCCAGGGAACAAGTTTCAGCAACATAAGGATGTGGAGGAGGGGACAGGCCTGAGAGATGGCCCGGCTCAGTACACAGCCTCACCCCGCTCCCCAGCCCCCACGTCAGGTGTACTGCCGTGGCTGCCATCTTGAAACACTTACTTTGAATAGCCGTCTAACCACCCCATCGAGCACATCCCACTTCGTCTTGCCACTAACTCCAATGCAGCCAATGAGAAAGACGTGTGGCCTGGAATCCTAAGGGTAAGGAAATGCACGCAGGTGAAAAACAGGTGGATCTCATCCGACACAGTTCAGCAGAGGACTCAGATTGCCTCAGAACTCCGCCAATGGTTTGAGAAGGGAACAAAAGCCCTACTTATTTCAACATCAGATACAACTTAGGTGGAATGTAACAGTCTTAAAACCCTTCCCTGCATTACTGCTACAACAGCAATCCATGGGTCAGGAAGAAAGGATCTCCTCTCTGGAATCTGGAAACTTCCGCTAAGTGTGTACGTTGTCCATGCATGGATCACACATCCTTTGCCTGGAATACTCTCCCCACTCCTGTCTGCCATCTCTCCCTTTTCAAACCTTGCTTATGAACTCACCTCTTCCAGGAAGCCTTCAGTGATTAACCCCACCAGGCTCAGAGCTTACACTGCTGCAAAGGTTCTATTTACAACTTACATAATAATATATTCTGTACTTATTTATATTTAGTTTTAGGTATTTCTCTTTTATTTGTATATCAAGTTTATATCCTTGCTAGATCTTAAACTTCTTCAGGACAGAATGTGTTTCTACTTTTTTCCCTTCTTTTTTGTTTTTAAATAACATGTATTGCTTTTCTTCTAATTAAAAGTTAACACAGGTTTAATTTAGAAAACTAGTAGAACTCCAGGAAGGTCACCCTCCAAATAATCTTTTTCTACTTTTATTTTTTTGCATCTCTGCCCACAAGGCTCTGCATAATGGGAGCTAACTTATCGAACTGATTAAAGAAATGCTGATAGAATGTTCCATTCTACTGAATTTTAGAATATCTGACAGGCTTATAGGAATGTAGAGTTAGGGAGGCAGCGGCATTTGGCAGTTAAGCAAAATCAGCAGAGAAAAGAGCACCAGTCTTGCAGTGACATGATTTGACCCCACCACTTGCCTTGTGGTCTCAAGTAAGTGATGCTTGTCTTGGGCTTCTCAATTGTAAAACGGAAGTAACAACCCCTCATCGACCAACCTCATCTGGATGCCATAGCGATCTAGAATGCTACAATCTCTGACTTGTAAACTTCTGTAAAACGTAAGCTCTATCTGTTCATGTTGATGATCGCTAGAATAAATTGCATCCACAGGTATCGTGTGCATTTACTATAAGAATGCTGTAAGAACAAATCCCCTCCCGATAGTCGATCACTGTATTAGCTACATTTTTTCAATGGAGCTATTTATTGTATCTTCCTAGGACAGATGATGCTAAAAACCCTTGGACGTTCCAAAATTCTGGGCTTATCCCCTTCAGTGAAGCTAGCAAGCCAGCCACAAAGTGGAATCCCCTGGCAAAAAAACACCTCTGGCTGCAGACGCTTTGTTCTGGTGGGCACTGGGGCTTCCCTGAGTGTCTGGAGCTACAGCAGCATATTGGCTAGAAACGCTAAGAAACAGCAGAGAAAAAACTCAAGGGAACTTGAAATGCTGACTCATGAAACCTTGTCCCATGTATTCAAGAGATGGCCATTCAGGGCATCACTGGGTTAATTGTGGACTAAAATTCAACTTTCACTGTCAATCCCTACCCCCACCTCGAAACAGTCTCTGGCAGTGGTGTAGACTCCAGAAGTTTCTAGGCCTTGGAGGAGAACAGACACCGTATTCAGAAAACACAGGTTCCCCAGCCTCAGTGAGTCACGACGCCCCCCAGCCCCACTGCCAGCCACCTGAGCTCTCCCGGGACTTGGATGCTCCGTCTTTCAGCGTCTGCCTTGCCAGCAGTCTCTGAAGACCTGAGAGACTGCTGCTCCCGGTCAGCTGAGTTCAGCCGGCTTATCTCTGTGCCTCGTACCCTAAACGCGCATAGCTGCCTTTCAACTGCTTTGGGAATACACTAAATTCAGAAAAGCCCTTTCTGGTGGATATTAGTGTCCGGTTAATTATAGGGAAGTGCAGTGTGGGACCATTTTTAGTACTCTTTATTAGACTTTCCAACATGAGAGAAAGGGAAATGCCGTTCAGTCAGTTTAATTGCGTCAAATGCTGCTGGGGATTATGGTTAGTCGAGAGAAGCGTTAGTAGTATTTCCAAATTGCCTCAGGCTCTGAGGTGATCTGGGTATTATGATTGCATCGCTAAGCTAGGTAGTTCTACCTGGGCAAGGGACAGGCAGAGCAGGGAAAGGGATCCAACTAACCTCCTTCCACTTCATTTCCTCCTGAAAGCTGACAACTATCTTAACATGCCTGCCTCCTTCCTTCCGAGCCGAGCATTCACCAGTGTCATCCAGCAACATGTCTGCGAATGGAAAACATCAACAGCCTTAGGCACATGGGGACGGCAAAGCTGGCTTCCTGACACCCCCGCTGCTTGTTGGCACAGCAGCAGGACAAAGCAGGTGTCGGGGTGCGGGGAAAGTGGGTTGGGGGTTGGGGGAGAGGGCACAATGGAGAACGCAGTCACAGAAACCAACGGTGGACCAACCAAGGAACCAGCAGGCTGACGATGCACCTTGCCGAATGGAAGTGCGAGGGAGAGACTCAACCGAAACGATAGCAATAGCAGCATCATGGATAAAAAATAAAAGCGTCAGCCTCAATATGCTTACAAAGAAAACCTAGATCGTGTTCATTGATGACTGCACCAGCCTGGGATCCGTCCTGAGGGCAGGCAGATCATAGACGAAGCCATTGCCCCAACTGGGACCTGCTACTATAGGGTTTGTATGCAGCATTCAGCTTGCAGGTCAGCGTCTCAAAATGGATCAAACAGAACTCAGCATGGTGGGTGAGGGGACCCAAGCTCAGGGCTTGGAGAATTTGGGGTGCTGGAGCAAAGCATGAGAGCGGTCTAACGGCTGGGCTCATGTTGGTAGCAGACACACACCCAAACACACACACCCCGAGTGCACGCACGCCTGTTGCCTCTCCATTTGATCTGTTAGCTACTTATCTTGGGGCTCTCGCTTAGAGACCAGAGTGCCAGGTGCAGGTCTGGTCCTGCCCCCCAGCCCCGTGAGCCACTCACCCAGGCTGGTTGACTCAGTGAGGTTCAGGCTGTGCTGGGAGAGGCCCATGGACTGCCTCGGGGAGGCAGAGATAGACACCTGGGAGGGGGCCCGGCTGCAGCCACTGCCTTGAGACTCCGACTTCAGCCGGTCATTCTCAGCTTTCAGCTTCTCTATTTCACTCTGCAAAGAGTAAGGGAGAAGCTCACTCACTAGGTGGATTTAATGCGAATAAGCCTTTTCTGGAGGAAGGATCTGAACGTTTTCTGCAGGAACCAGGTAGTATATCACAAGCAAGGCAAGTAACACCATCAGAGAGATTCAGCAGTGTTTGCTGCCTCTGCTGTACACATAAGACACGTCTGGCAGGAGAGGGTGCATCCTTTCAGAGAACCCGCCTTGAAAAGACCTCTGACATGTTTCCTCGAGTCTGCTGCTTGAGTGTTAAGCGGCAAAGCATCTAAAAGATCTAAGAGGTTTGTGAAACTCTGGCTTTGATAGGCTTCTTTACTGCAGGACTTCTCAGAACCTTTAATGAGCTGCTCCGTGCTGTGAATCTGAGAGAGGCACACAGAGTGCAGCATTCCCAAATGTATTTGATCAAGGAGCTCTCCTTTCATAGAGCCTCTCACGGAACGAGTGATTCAGGGAACCTCCTCTGAGAAACATCGCTCTCCAGTGATGTCCCATTTAGCATATCCCACAGCATACCCCTTCATTCTATAAATATTTATGAAGAGACTACTATGTGCAAGGCACGGGTGCTGTGTCCAGAAAAAGGGATGCAGAAAGTAGCATCCCAAATATCCTCACTCCATGGCAGGAGGTTATAGGGCTATAAGAACAAATCTATGAGAATACTAAGATGAGGGCACTAACTCTTCCCGCTGTAAGACTTGGAAAGGCTTTGCAGAGGAAGAGGCACCAGGCTGAGTGTTGGGGGAAGGGTTCAGTTTGATGTGCTGAGGGATGTTCCCAGTGGAGAGAACAATATGAAACAGAAATTCCCAGGGCATGCAAAGGGAGCTGTCAGCAGCTCCATCTGGCCGCTGAGTCAGAAGACGGAGTTGGGGAGGGTGGTGTGAATTAAGAGAGAAAAGGACCCCCTGAAAGGCCTTGAAGGTCAGGTGAAGGAGCTCGCACTGCATGCCGCAGGCAGCTGGGGAGTCTCTAGAAGTCTTATGCAAGAAAGGGAATAGTTACCCTCATTCTTTCAAAAGACTGGTCTTTGAGCAATGCATGGGAGGAATGGACAAGAGAGGGAGGCTGGGAAAGCAGAGGGCTGCCACCAGATTCTGATGTTGCCCTGGGGCTCGGCAGAGAGCAGCCTCCTGGAGCTCCTTCCTAGACAGCCTTGGGCTCAGCCCATGCTCCTGGGCTCTCACCTGCATCCTGTTCATGGCCTCCCGGAGCTGGTCGAGCTGGTGGGCAGAGCTGAGGGCTTCTAGGCGGATGTCTGTCAGCTTCATCTCCTTGTCTCTCAGCTCATTTCGGAGCTGCATGACTGTCTCGGCTTCGCTGTCCATGCACTCCGAGATCCTGGGAGAAGAGAAACGTTACTGACCACTGGGCCATGTCAATCACCAGGTTTGTTTGGCAGTAACTGTATATAACCAGCTTGCTGGTGGTGCCTAAAGCACCTGAAATTCACAGATTTTATTACTTCTCTACACTTTCTCTGTAGAGCTCTGACAATCAGAATGGCTTTGGTGTGCCTTTCAGCAAAATTCCAATAACTTAGGGATAAGAGGGAGATGGCAAAAGAGAGTAGTGACCTTCGGGGTTTGATCCCTGAAGGTTTGATCCCACTGCCCTGTGTGTACACAGCTGGGCTCCGGTGATGACACCACGTGGCCTTTGAGTTCTAACCCCACTCAGAGAAGCAAGGTCAACTGTGTTTTAAAGATTAGAAACTCCAAGGTTAGATAGCTGAGGGGTGATTTTTATTTGCTAAAATGTGGAAGAAATCTAAAGATGTGGGTGGAAGGAATTTGTCTGATCACGTTCTAAAAACTCACTCCCCTGAAAGTATCTAGAGAGCAAGCTTCTTTAGTTCCCCCTCCCCCATACCACTTCATACACTCATGGCAAGGAGAGAAACACCTTCAGGGAGTTAGAGACCAGAGAGCATGATGTGGCGTAAAAGCCAAAGTTGTATCTGGAAACTCTGCAATGGTTTGGCTAATATCTTCCTTTCTCAGTTGTGTATCAGATCCAGGTGGCTATGATACCCTGTTGAGTTCCTCTTTCTTAAGAGGTGGTCTTTCTAGCTGTGCTCTACTTGATTACTTAGGTTTGCTCTTCAAACACCCGGCAGTCAGCACAAAATGGATGACCACAAAAGTCACAATGAATTGCAATGTTGAAAAAGGTAGTTCTCTTAAAAAAAAAAAAAAAAAAAAAAAAAAAAAAAGAGTTCTGTTAATTTAAAAGGTCACAGGATCTGGGGTATTGGGTGAATCAGAACAGAAAGTTTTGACGTTTCTTGGACTGAAGACAGAAAGAAACAAAAACAATCCCAAAAAACCACCCCCCACTCCTGCCCAAGTTCATAAAGTTACAAAGCTGAAGCTGATTATGTCTGAAAGCAATGATGAGCATGTGATCTCTGCAGAAGTAAATGTTCACGCAAGCCTGCTCTCCAAGACCCAAGTGCTGGATTTGGGGCCAAAAAAACCTGACCTGTAAAAATGGTTGAGGGTGTGGAAATTATAATTGCCAAAGGAAAACGACTTACAACATTGCTAAAAGAGATGCAATTGTATTTCAGGGGCAGAAAGAACTAGAAGAAAAACACTTGAACAGCCAAATATTTCTGTTGCTATTTTCCTGACCTGCACTTGAACTGTTTTGAGAGAGACAAAGAGAATAAAAGTTGTCAGCAATCAAGGAAGCTTCTCAGCCTCAAAATCTCGAAAAATCCAAGGAACTCCTGAACATGTAATTATTCCCATTTCACACCCAGGAGAAATGGAGGCCAACAGATTTAGGATTAAAGGGGCTAGAGACACAGAAATGTCTTTAGAATTCAGATCATCCTTTCCTTCCCAGCTCTCTGTGCTCTGAACAGCCTGTGGTTTGTAAGGTTTAATTCTGGAGCATGGTTTTCTTTGTTTGGGATGTGTGCAGGAGGACCTTGCAAAAACTGGTTCTTTCTTGAGAGAACTACGGTTTCCTGGTTTAAATGGAGTCTAAAGTCTGAACAAAATTCCACTGTGACACTCTGGTCTTAGCCAAATCATGCCCTACACAGATCTTGAAGGCTCCAATTCACAGTAGAGAACAGTCTGTCTGGCTCACACTGCCCCAGACTGGTCTGTCCCCACCAAGGCACTTTGCTCAGGTCTCTTTCATGTGGTCTGTACCTTTTTCCCAGAAAGCTCTCTCAGCAAGAGAAGACAATATTTCCTTGGCACCCACTTTGTTGGATATGTCACATGGGTTGCTTTGCAGAGCTTGGCCAAACAATGACTTTACAAAGGGAAGCGAACGAAAATGAAGAAAGTCAGTGTTGGAAATACAAGGTCTGCCTGGTGCTCCTCCAAAATCTGTCAGCTCTTAGAAACACAATAGTGAGGCCACGTGAGAGGGATGTCCTACAACACAAAGTGATGTTGAAAACAAGCTCTTTTGCAACAGCCTCAACTGAGCTTTAGTCCCTAACCCTATTGCTGAAGACAGAGCCTTCTCTCTTGGTTCCCACCCTGAGTAAACTCATGTTGTCACTGATAATTTTATTGAACTTAACAGGTAGGTGACCATCTGCTTGGCTACTAATTACATTGACCAACGCATCATAGGTTACCAGCAAATGCTTACTGAATACATGAACAACTGGCCTAGGCATTTGCAGTGTATTATTTCATTTACTTCATACATTACTGACTCCATGAAGAGGCACTGTAATGACCTCCATCTGTAAAATAAGGAGGCAGAAGCATAGAGGTGACATGCCCAAAGTCACAGTATTTAAAAACAACAGAGGCAGGACCAAACCTGGTAGGTGTGCTTAGCTCCAGAGCCTGTGCTCTGGAACTATACCCGGTAGGCGCTGTACATGCTTGTCCACTTACTGAAGCAATGCGACGTACATGTTTCTCTACTCACTCCCCAGCCTGTTCTGCCAGCCTCTTCCCGCTGTCTTGTCCAGATGGGGGGCTGGTGGCATACCTAATTTTAAATGCCTCGAGTACGGGAAACGCCTTCCCACAACTACCATTCCTTTCGCCCACGGGCTGGGGAATTTTCTAAGCCCAACCCCTCTGCCTTTGGTTTCTTCTTTGAACTCCCTCTCACATCCAGATTTGCACATTCTTACAAACCTTTCAAGGTTAGAAATAAGCATATGCTCTTAGCCCACCCTTTGGAAAACTAGACCAAAAACAAACATCTCCAGTGTCCATGGATGCTGTGGAATGTAAGAAAAGGGTTGGGAGCCAAGAGTCCACCCTGCCCCCTCCCTCTGGGGAGAGTGGCTTGGAAGCAGAGGTCCTGCCCAGTGAGCACATCACTACCACGCTCTCCTTGGCTTAGTCGGCCACCCGGCGCTTCTGGCCCAGCTCCTATTCCCTCCTCCAGCAGTTTCTTCTCTCTGCTCCTGGGTTTCCTCCCACCGCTCTGGCCGGCAGCTCTACTTTCTCTTCGTGAACTTCAAATATCAGAATGCCCCAGAGCTCAGTCCTTGTACCTCTGGTACCCTGTACCTCCTTCATCTCTACTCAGCCCCTTGAACAACTCCGCCAGCTACGCAGCTTTCAATACCACCCATGAGCCTGTGTCTCCCAGATCTATACCTCCCAGGACTCTGGGCCAGCGTCTCCATATGGGTGCCTTCTGGGCACCCCAAACTTAATGTGACCAAACCAGAGCTACTGACCCCTGCCTGCCCCCATCTGGGCCTCCCACCCATTGCAGGTGCTCGCATTGCGAGTCTAGGAATATCCGAGGATTGCTCTTCTCCTTCCCTCACAGTGCACATCCGATCCGTCACCGTGTAGTGTCAACTTGTTTTCAAGAATATATCCTAATTCCATCCAGAACTCACCACCACTGTCAGCCACTCATTCATTCCACCAAATATTTCAGTGCCTGCAAAACCAACAGAGTACCTACCTCCTCAGAGCCTCTACTGTAGACCTGGGGTTGGGGACAGAGAACAAATGACCAAGGACAACATATAATCAGGTGTCACGTGGTAATGTGGGCAGGGGTGAGGAATAAAGCAGGACAAGGGACGATGAGGAGTGCTGGCTGGCGGTGGGCTGTTGCTTTATGCAAGGTGGATGGGCAATACCTTCTTCATAAGGTCACACTGAGCGGAGACCTGAAGGAAATAAATATCCAAGGGAAGAGCAGACCAGGCTGGGGGTGCAGCCAGGGCAAAGGCCTCGAGGAGAGTGTGACTGGAGTGTTCGAAGAATGGCAAATGGGCCGAGTGGCATCAGCCTCCAGGGGATCTCCCTCCCTCCACGCTTCCTTCCCAACACTCCTTTCCACTAATTCGGATTATCCACATTCCTGCTCCAAATTCTCCCCCGTCTGCCCAGGACACACGCAATCATATGCACATTCACTTCAAAGCATTACGTGTTCCAGCGAGGCCCTGCCTATGTCTGTGGCCTCCTTTCCCTCCATGGGGAAGCCCTGCTGGCCATCCCTCTCCTTCTCAGACACAAGAAGCCCGTCTCCACATTAGGTTCCTTACATTCGTTCTTTCTTGGGTTAGGAAGGCTGCCCTGCTCGTTGGGAGGCTGGAGTCGTAGAGGCTGCTATGTGGTCACCAAAGCCCACTTCTATCTTCACTTCCTCCCCTGCAGGTGGTACAGCCCTGGGTCCTGCTCAGTGGACTGTGGGAAGAGGTGATGTGTGTGCCTCTTCCAGGCCTGTTCCATAAATCCCTCCTGCAGGATCCTCTGCCCTCTCCGCCCTACCCCGCCTATTGGCTGGGCCCAGAGTGCTGAGCAGAGGACTGGGGCCCCGTGGACAGCAGGAACCTCAGTGTCTACATGGCCACAGGGCAGGCTGCCTGCTGACTAGGAATATCTGCACTGGGTTTGCAGTGAGCCAGAAATAAACAGTCATTGGCAAAGCCACTGAGCTTTGGGCTGAGTTTGTTACAGCAGCTAATGTTACTGACCAGAACTAACTCAGTGGTTCCTTCCGCCATGCAGATCTCAGCTGAACTGTCACCTCCTCAGAGGGGCCTTTTCTGACCACCCCATCTAAGGTTGCTACCAAGGTATTCTGCAGTCCAGCACTATTTTAATTCACAGCATTAACACTTAGCAACATCTGATTTTTCTAGTTTCTTTGGGATTTAACATCCATTTCCCTGCCTGGTGTACCGGGTCGATCAGAGTGGGGACTTTACTGTCTTGTAGACTGTTGTCACCAGACCTGAGTACGGTGCCTGCACAGAGCGGAGCTCAGGAGCACCGTGTCATGTCTCCACTAGTCCCTAGTCTCCAAGGGCTGGAGAATCTGGTCTCTTCAGAACACCTGGAACAGAGCTCTGCTCACACAGCTCGCTAGACCAAAAGTTTAAATCAATAAATAAAGAGAGGATGAATTCCTTTTTCTCCTGGTCAGGAAACAAATAAGTTGGGATGTTCTGGGATGATGTATGTGTGAGAGTCACAGGCAACTTGTTTTTTTTGTGTGTGTGTATGAGATAGAGTCTCACTCTGTCACCCTGGCTAGAGTGCCGTGGCATCATCATAGCTCACAGCAACCTCAAACTCCTGGGCTCAACTGATCCTCCTGCCTCAGCCTCCCAAGTAGCTGGGACCACAGGGGCATGTCACCATGCCTGGCTGATTTTTATATATATATTTTTTTTGTAGAGACGGTGTCTTGTTCTTGCACAGGTTGTTCTCTAACTCCTGACCTCAAGCGATCCTCCCACTTTGGTCTCCCAGAGATTACAGGCGTGAGGCACCACACACAGTCTGCGAATTGCTCTTTATTTACTTCTCAGGTGCTCTACAGGTCTAATAGGACACACACTCTCAGTCATTCGTTTAATCCTTCACTCAAGAAAACACACGGTGCCGGAGCTGGGCATGCTGCAGTCCAGGGCCTCAGGGCTCCTCTTCCTTCTGCTGCTCAGATTGTCACATATACCCATCACAGAAAGCAGTATACATCCCTGTGGCCACCCTCTTACTAGGGTGCTCCTTAAGAGAACCTGATAATCTAATTAAGTGAAACGGAGACCCCGACAGGGCCATGTTTCACTAGTGGGAGGGGTTGCTCAAAAGCAGTGACCCTACACTCCGTTTCCTCTCTTCCATGCAGTTGGTATGGGACAAAGACCTGGCCTCTGCACAGGCTGGTCTTCCCTGCACTCCCTGTACCCATGTGGAAAGCCTCAGGACACCTATGCAAGCTGCTGTCTCCAGTGGGCTGGCTGGTTAAGAGGACTTAGGGTTAGCTCCGTAGACCTGGCTTCCTAAGAATGAAGATGGAACAGGAAGAAAGAAGCCCCAATGCACCGTATCCAACTTGGCCCGCCCAAGAATCCACTGCGGCAGACGTAATTAACCCCATTTTTACTAATGAGGAAACTGAAGTTTATACAGCCAAACGTCTGTTTCTAACCCTGTCTTAGTGGCTATTCTGACCACAACTACCACTCCCCTCTCTCCCCAGACACTGTCTCATCTCGCCGATAACTTTCCTTGCAGACTACTTGTGTTCCTGTTCTTTAATTCTAGGCCTGGTATACTATGGTCTCAAAAGGCATTCAGCCCTACTGGGCAGAGGCAGCCTTTCTCACTGCTACAGGAAGCAAGCACTGTTACACCCATTTACCTTGTTCAAGCCTCAGGATAGAATAAGCAGACAACCACCATTATCGGAATTTGACATATAAAGATATGTCAAAGAGAGGCTGAACAACTTGCTTAAGGCCAGCCAGCTAATTACAGACACTGACATCACCAGAACTAAAACCTAAATTTCCTTTCTCTTTCAACCTTCCCAGTCCTAAAGCGTGGAAAGAACATGCACACTCCTATAAAGGCAAAACATACAGGATCCCAAGGAGCAGATCTATCACAATGGGACTCCTCAACATGCCTACTTTCCAGAGTTCTTAGAGGCCGAACATGTCATTTGACTAGGGTCACCTTGACAGACAGACTTACAGAGAGTTGGAGTGAGAATTCCTCAGCAGCGGAGTGGAGCCCGTGGACCCGTTGTGCGGTAACTTCGGCGAGGAAGGCAGAGAGGAATCCGTCATCTCCTCGATGTCTGAATGAGAGGATGCCGACTTGGGGGACTTCTTCTTCCCGAAAGCTTGCTTGAAGGAGCTGCGTAACTGAACATACGAGACCGTCAGCCTCGCGGGGGCTGCAGCCAACGCTTAGGCCTTGGCAAAACAGGGACATGCACACAAAAAAGCAATTAGTTCTCCCGCATTTTCCCCCCACCAATGGAAAAGGTTCCCAACAGCTCTCTTGAATCAGTGCATTAAGGGAAGAAGAGTTATCTGGTGTTGACAGCTCAAAGGACTGAACCTGTGGGTAACATTCCATGCCTACTCTTGGTTCAAGACTAGATGCCAACAGCAAGACAGAGCCTGGCTCAGCGGATGGATGTCGGGAAGATGAGGTTACACAGCAACAAAGCAGGATGCTCAGACGTGGTGACGGATGCGGATGAAGTTAGTCATATCAATGGATGGGTTAGCTTGGTATCTGATATTAAAGTCAGTCTTGCTTACCTCATTTACCTGCCAGAGAAAACGCAAGCAAAAATGGGGAAAGGGGAGGAAAAAAGACAATTTTTAACAGATAAAGCCAGTGACAGGGAAAGCTTCGGACTTTCAGACACAACATGGCTAATAATAAACACCACACACAGAGGAGATTTCCAGGAGGGCAGGAGTTGTTAAACGCTTTGGGGGCATCTTCCTCCATTATGAAAGGAAGGGACTACAAGTAGGGAGTCCCCTACAATTCCAGTTCTCCCAGCTTTTCCCTGTCTGCTTGGAATGGCTGCCTCTCACCTTCCTCGCTTCTTACTCTTTTCTTGTCTCTTCTCAGTCATCTCTTTGTGCTTTAATTTGGGGGGAGGAGGCCTTCTTTTCTGAGCAATGCCAGCTTTACTGCTGCACTGGCCCCAGAGGGCTGCACGGCTCTTTGACTTATCTACTTAGGAATTCCTGCTGTCCTCACATATAAGAAGATAATCTAATAAGCAGGAAATTGGCCGTCTCATTTGTTACTCAAAAAATGGGCAGTCATTTTTAAGAAATTTATTAACTCTATTGGGAAAATGGAATTAGTATATTACTATTTCCCCAAACCATGAGATGGACCCGAAAATTCTAAGGAGAACGTCAAGGATGAAAGTGCAGTGTCTTCTCTGAATGCCATGACCCACATTTATTTTTCCAGGCCAAAAAAATAATGTTTCATCTTGGAAAAAAGGTCTTTTAAAAAGTAATTTCCTTTTTGTAAAGTCTCTTTTCCTCATGAAAATATATTCTAGGGGTTTTCTTAGCCATTGAGAAATTCAGAAAATGGGCCACTCTGAAAATCGATGAGATTTTTCTCCCATCAGTGTGTTTCATCCATAAACACTGCAGGCCCACCTTGTGGGCAAATCTAGATCCCATTTCTCTCCAACTTTCTCCTTCTGATCATATTTCCAGAGAGTAGTCACAGAAACAGAAGGATCAGACACACAAACTAGCAATTTACATCCCTGCCTCCACCTCCGGTAAAAAGCCAGGTAGAAGAGATGACAAAGATTAGACAGAATTAAGCTTTGGGATTAGCTGAGGAGGCCAGTTATTCCATGACTTTACTGATAACCAAAAGTTGTCTTAAAGCAACAAAAAACAAGTTTTATTTCTTGAATTGAAGAAGATGGATAACCACTATTTTTCATAGCAAATATTTCTCTCATCACGTTGATAATCAAATCGGACATTTATCACATATTAGAGAGAGCAACACAAGTTAATCCTCTCTGTTTAGTCATAGCAAATGTGTTGACTAAAAGCCATTAGTAACTTAAAGAAAAAAAAATTAATCAGAATGAGGAGAGGGTCACACTGAACTGGCCTTTTAGCTTGCTTCCAATGCAAATCATCAATGACTGAAATTACTATACCCCTAACTTCTCTATCGCCAGACCTCGCCACCCATCCAAGATAACACAAAATGAGTGAGAAGTGTACGGAATGAATGAGGACACTGAAGCTACTGTGGAAATGATGCCATCAGCACTAACAAACAGGGCCCTCTGACCACTGGCCGACTTCAGATCAACTTGGGATCTTCCTGCCCGAAGACAGGGAGCAGCAAATGTCCGTCAGAGCTCTGCAGCCTCAATGGCAAAACTATAAACTGAGGAGGGGATTGAGTAGGGTGAAATTTTCCCAGAAGGGTGAGAAAAACTGTTCAAGACACCATAGTGCAGAAATTCAAGTAGCTCATTGGGCCACATGGAGAAACACTGCAACAGAGACTGACTTTATTAAACTCACCATTATGAGGGTACAATCCCCAGTTTAGAACTACTCGCTAACTCCTAATGTTGACATTATGAAACTTTTATTTATAGGACATGGTCAAAAACTTTTCAAAGAGCAGGTTGGTTTGATGCTATCCTAGGCAATTATGTAAACAAACAGATAAAGATTATTGTTAACGATAGGATAACTAGCGATATAAGCTCAAAAAAGTACTTTGGAACTAATTGAAAAGAACCCACTTAAGAGTAACTTTGCTCTATTACCTGGAACTTTGTGGCCCACATATAATGAGAAAGAAATGACACATACACAAAATGAAAGATGAGTATGTCACGTAAAGTCTCATGAAAGATAAAAAACTACAGAGTGGTGATGATTTTACAAATTCTAGTGTTTTGCTGAGCATGACATTGATTTTACTAAGAACCTGTCCACAGACCATTTCCTCAGATCCACTACCAAAGGTCTGTGTTCTGCAGTTGAGAGCTGGCCTGGGCTTTATCTGGGGGGCTGCTGGTTCCGAGGCTGACTCTGTCGGTCAGTCCCCAGCAGAGTGTTTGCAGGCACACTCACCCAGTTCTTCCTCTTCTTTTTCTTTGAGTCACTCTCTATGTTGCTGCCCACGCTGGAGTGGCTGGTGGCGCTGTTGATGCTAGAGACGCTGTCGGAAGAGTGTTGCCGGCGGATGCGGAGGTCTGCAGACTGGGCGGAGCCGTTTCCTGGATGCCAAAGCAGGGGATATGAGCAGCTGCCAACCTAAGCCCTGTCCCCTATTGCGGGGAATGGCCCTGCCAGTGAAATCCACACACCCGAGCACGACTGTTTTCTACATAGACATCACCGCTGTTCCCCACTGCTGGTTTTAAGATCCTTGGGTAGGTGGGTGCTATGTCCTTTTCAGTCAACTCGATGAGATCTACCCTTCCTCACTTTACAAAACAGAAGTCAAGGGTGAACTAGTCAAGGCTTAGGGAGAATGTCCCCACCACCAGCTCGAGTGTGCCTGTGAACTGCAGCAGCAGTCACCTTCGTCATCAGCCCCTCCTCCGTTCTCGGGGTTCCTGCCGCAGTAGCCTTCCTGCAGCCCCCTGGCAGTGCCAAGCCCACATCGTCTCAGGGCCCCTCCCTGCGCTGTTCCTCGGCCTGGCTGCTCTTTTCCCTCAGCTCCTGCTAACCCTTCCCGTTTCAACTCTATCATCACTTTTTGAGAAGGCCCAAGAGCCAAAAGAACAGTGACCCTTAAGATGACTGACATCCGACAAAGTTTGCAGATGGTTTTCCTCCTGAGGACAGAACTATACCCAAAGCATGGGCTCTGAGGGCACCGGTTCCAGTGAGACAGACTCAGGTTCTCATCCCACTTCCGTTTCTTACTACTCCCTGACCTTAAGAAGTGACTCTCATCTCTGAAAACCAGTGTCCTCAACAGTATAATGAGGAAAGGCCCAGTATCACACAACGTGGGAAGAAAACAAGATAATAAATTAAATCATTGAAACACTTTAGCATGATGTTTAGAACACAGTAAGTGTTCCATAAATGCTATCGATATTGCTTGTATTAACGTTACTGTTAATATTGTTATTGCAGGAGGCAGCTCACCCGCACACCCACGTTCTTTCTGTTTACCCCAGCTAAGACACACAAGGACAAAGCAATCCACTCAGAAATGTTTTCCTGGACAAATAAGGGAGGAACTATTTCAGTTTAAACCACATATCAGCATGTAAATATAAAAGTGTTAATAAAATGAAGGGCTGTAAAACACTCTGACACTCTGCCAATAGAAACATATTTTCTTCCTTCTTTGAGATCCATCAGAGAAGAGGATGAGCTATGATAGTCATCTTCATAGAGGCCAGAAGTGGCCCAATTAAAGGCGTTTGCCTTCTAGGACCGGCACACCTGACACAGGGTTGAATTATCCAGCCACCTGCCCTCTAGCAGGGAGGTTGCATCATATACTGTCAGGGGAAGGCTCCTAAGGGCAGGCAGGTCGTCTTTCTGAAGACGGTTTCTCTTACTTTACCTTTGCAGTTGAGCTCTGGTGTGTTAATTACTCCATTTATAGCAGCCTGGGCAGCTGCGTTCTGTTTCTTCAGCAGCTCAATGGTTTTTCTTAACTCATTCAGTTCTGAATCCTGAAGAACAGAAAGAACTACTGGTCATCCTAAAACCATTCTGTGCAGAGTTCAACTTAGCTTCAATACGGGAGAGTAGGGAACACGGGAGTTCAACAAAACCTCTGACTCACACGCTCGTTGGATCGATTTCCAACAGGCATAAATGAACACAAAAGAAGTAGGAATGTGACTACAAGATTCATCATTGATGTCGTTATCATCATTCAATCTAAGCCACCTTTTCCCTCAACAGACCTACCTACTCCTTACAATTAAATTCTACAGTTTGGGAAGTACATTAAAATCTACACAGTGATCTGAAAGGAAAGAGAATGATATTTTTAGGTTTGTCGTCGACTCCAAGCAGGGAGGGAAGCGAGCCTCCTTTCTGCCTCACCTTCTGCTCAGCTGTCATGGTCAAACTCTGGAGCCTGATCGTCATGTTTCCAAGACTCTGTTCAAAGGCTGCCACGAGGTGAGCCTGGAGGGGGAAGACACAGCCTCAGTTCTGTTACCTTGCAAGGCAAGAGTGCCTAAAACACACTGGGTCTTAAAGACAGAAATGCTGTGGCTACCACTTAATCTAGCCTCTGTCTACTCCTGTAGGTTCCTCTTGAATCCCATTCCCTGCCTCCCTCTGGGATCCAGTTACTCCAGCATTGTACTTGCTCAAACATCCTAAGCACCTTCCCACCTTAGGGCCATCGTCCCTCCTTTCCCCTCTGCCTGGAATGCTCTTACCCCCAGTCCTCTCCTTGCCTAACTAATTTTCACATATCCACCTTGGGGGCTCTCAGCTTTTGCCTTCATGACACACCCGGACTGGGTTAGCTCCTCCATGTTCACTCTCGCAAGCACATTGCACTTCTATGTTTTGTGATTTCGTAGTTAAAAATATCCATAGTGTTATGGTTGTTGACTTATGTCTGCCTTCCCTACTACACTGCAGGATGATCTTTTGTTCACCAACTGCTAAGCTCATAGTAGAGGCTCACATCAAGTATGTTTGCAGAATGAATGAACAAAGTAGTTGGCATATTTTGCTTGTTATAATCCTGGTTAATGAAAAGCCAATGAAAGGCCCATCTGCTTCCTCCTTGGAGAAACCTTCCCTACTTCCCCCAGTGAGTTACCACTTTCCCACAGGCTCCCATGCACTTCTGTTAGAATATGACATCAGATGCATCATTATTTGATACATTACTAAGAAATTGTTTCAAGTGTTGCCAGTTATAATTTAATATGCATCCAATTTTCAGAGATTTTAAAATGTGAAAAAAAGAATACATATTAGAAATGAGAAATGTGGTATATTTCTTGCCTGCCCCCTTGTCTGTAACTTTATTCAAGGACAAGAGGTAACTTTGTGTCCCAACACTAAGCTTTCGCCTGGGATATAGAGTAGTAGTTGAAATGCTGGTTGACTGAATGAGGATCCTGGTCATGTCATTAAAATCAAGAATAAAGAATAGATGCTTTTTCAACAGTCATGCTAGGGAACTTCCAGCAATCAATTTAAGAATCTGTATTAGTGTTCTTGAATGTGAAGTTTCTATTTTAAGAGTCCAGATTCTTTTCTCCTTCCCTTTAAAATGTGGATCTACTTCCCATTTCTATAAAATATGCATACTGTAAAAAAATTGTAAGAAATAAAAAACGGAAGATAGTGTAGGCCAAGTTCTTAAGAGTTGGGGGGTACTGAAGGGGAAATGTGCCTAACGTGTTATTACAAATGGTCATCCTCAACACAGACAGCACTCTTTTTTCTCATTTTTTAAATAATTATTGAGATATACCATAAAATTCACCTTTTTTATAGAAAAAAAAAATCTGTTAGCCAGCCAGGATCTTCTAACCTCCAAACTGTACTTGTATAAATGGAATAGTGGCATGTCCCATTGTTAGAGGCATTTGAGCAGATGAAATGGACCACCACACTGTACATTTGATGAAGATTAACATCACATCTACCTTGTTCACACCTGTATCCTTACTGGTGGCACAAAGCAGCCACTCCATAAATGAGTGTTGGATGAGGACATAAAGGACTGAAAAGAAAAGCACTTAGATGAAGGAGGCAGTGTGGCACAGGGGAAGGGAACAGGATATAGAGTTGTGGGTCTTCAGCTCTCATTCTAGTTCCTTTTGATTGCTCGTGATGCTGAGCAAGTCATCTAATCCTCCTGGCCTCGGCTTCTTCTTCATCTATGAAATGGGAACAATATCTATTTTTCCCCCATGGTTATTTTGAGCACTAAATGAAACAAAACAGGTGAGAATGGTCTATAGACCACTGCGGAACTGCAAAACACAGGAATGAATGGATACTTGTGGGGAAGGAAAGACGTTTGGGAATGAGAAAGTAACATAAGAAACTAAGGCCGGGCACGGTGGCTCATGCCTGTGATCCTAGTACTCTGGAAGGCCAAGGTGGGAGGATCGCTCAAGGTCAGGAGTTCGAGACCAGCCTGAGCAAGAGCGAGACCCCATCTCTACTAAAAACTAGAAAGAAACGATCTGGACAACTAAAATATATATATATATATATATATATATATATATAAATTAGCCAGGCATGTTGGCGCATGCCTGTAGTCCCAGCTACTCAGGAGGCTGAGGCAGAAGGATCGCTTGAGCCCAGGAGTGTGAGGTTGCTGTGAGTTAGGCTGACGCCACGGCACTCTAGCCCAGGCAACAGAGCAAGACTCTGTCTCAAAAAAAAAAAAAAAAAAAGAAACCGAGAGAGGAGTCATAGTCCCCGAGAACACAGGTGAAGGGAGTGAGAGTAGACACACAGAGGATGACGAGGAGACAAGGGGAAGAGCCAGCAGAGGATACTTGGGTGGAATCCTAGGAGAAGTGAGATTGGATCTTATTAGAAAATTCTAAAGGAAAAGATGACTGATGCACACAGTGAAGGATAAAGTGGGATAAGAATGGGAGAGCCTTCGTCCTGGGCTGTGAGAAAGGTCAGTGACATTTCAATCTAGGGAGGGTGAATAGAGGCCTGTTACCAGACTTCTTTACGTAGGGATGGTTGAGGCTAAGACATCTCTAGGATCAACTGTTGGCAGGGAGCAGGACCACTCGTAGTATTAAGTGGAATAGCTAGTTTCTTTCTGACTGCACCATCTTTCTTATTAAAAATGGAGAAAATGCCTCTGCATTTTAAAATAAAGAGATATGCTTTGGTTTGTCCTGGAGAGCGTGGCAAAATCAAAGCCAATCAATTCAAGACAGTCACATAGTTGATGAAGGAAACAGTCCAGGGCACGAATACCTAAAAGAATGTTTGCTATCTTTACACTGCAAAAGAATGACAAAGTTAAATTTAAATGACTAAATTTCCATTTATTTCAGTTCTGTGTTTGATGATTGCCACCCTTGATTCAGTTGTGGGCATTCATATTTTTTTTTTCATTCATATTTTCTATTTAATTAAAAACAAAAACAAAAACCTGACTCCACGAAGACTGCTATTGAGAAAGTGTTTTTGCAAGCTCAAAAAGAAACCACATTTGCTCTGAAGAACCAGTGGATCTCATTTTTCTGGCAAGCAAAAGGGCTGCCTTTGTGTCATAAGCACAATTATGAAAATACGGGTCAGAGAGGCTGTCATGAGCGTGGCTCAGAGACACACAACAGCCTTCTCATCAAACACCATCCTTACATTCCCAGGGAAAACAAACATGAGTGGTATAAAAACACCCAGAGAAGGTGGCTTTGAGTAGTTTGTCCTAGAAAAACAAACACAGCTTGGTCTGTGAGAAAAATGGCAGACAATAAAACATGTTAGCACTGCCGGTGGTGTGTGGCAAGACTAAATATTTACTTTAAAACAATACAAGATTCAATGGCTTTTATGAGTAGCAAAACACACTTCTGGAATAAAAGCGGGGATCTCACTCTGACTCTTCTAGAACAGAGAGTAGAGTTCCAAATGGCCCAGCGAAAGGCTCCTTGTGCAACATGAGGTCAGTGGGGGAATTAACCCAAGTTCACTGATAAGTAAGTTAACTACCACTTGAGGATTAGTAAAGGGCAGCAATCGGCAGCTGCAATTCTTAACTAGGAGAGTAGCTCACAATCACTGGGGAGGAGTCAAACCTCATGTGGTGGATGATGCCCTGAAGACCCTGGCTCTTTGGGCCCAGAGTTTGTTCTGGATTCAAATGCACACATCTGGTTCTCTAGATGAAGAATCTACCCATAGAATATCTCAGCTGTTTTTTGGAATAGGATCTAAGCCTCAGAATTCATTGTCACATCAATTTCTGAAGTTCTTTTGATAGCATTACTGATGGCAGAAGAGGTAAGGAAAAATAAAGAATCATAAGCCACAGAGTGGCCTAGTATGTTAGGGGGTTTGGAAAAAAAACAAAGATTTCCAGAAATGTAAGAGAACTCAGGAGACTGACTAATGATGAGGGCTGCTACCAGTGACTGAGCGTGCAGTAAGGCCAAGCGCTGTGCTAGGTAATTCATGTGCAGACCTTTCCCTGAGTCGACTCAGGCTCAAGCTGGGAATGCCAGAGTAAAAACTCCAGGTAAATGATTATTTGGAATATTGACTCCTGGTCAAAGGATAAGCTTTTGAAGTTGCTTTCCATTTTAACAGCATGTTGCAGTCAAGCAGGCTGCTTTCTGACAGGTTTGAACACATTTATCTGTGGGCTGAGGATGGGTTGTGAACTAACTCCTAGACAGGAAGCCTTGCCTCAGAGGTGTCTCAGCACCTTCTGAGACCACAGGCGTTTGCCTTCTGAGCTCCTGCCTTCAGCTGGCCACAGCTCTGCAGAAGGGCTCCTTATCAGACTGGGCCGAGGAGGCAGGAGACCTCCGCCTCTGCTCTGACCCGTCTGAACCTATATCCACACTATAGTCAAGCAAACGAGCACCCCACTGCTTGCTTACAAGTCACTCATAGGGCTCTACTAACTTCAGGAGGAAGTCCAAACTCTCAGCCTAACAGCCCAGACACTGTGTGATCTGACTCTTGCCTTTGTCCAATGGCTTCGTCTTCCTCACTTCCTTCTCCTCTCACCCCTACCTCTCCTCCACATCCAAGCCATAGATTCTAATTATACCAAGCTCCTGCACCAGACTGAATGCTAAGAAGTCAGTGACTGTGCTTGCTTTGGTGTTGCACCCACAGCGCCTGGGGCATAGCTGGCACTCAAACCGTGTTAACTGAATGCTGGTTGGCAGCGTTTCCTGAACACGTAATGGTGCATATTATAATGACAGAGCAGCTGGCTGTTTATTGTGGAGCCCCAAATTTCTTTTTTTCCCTTCCTTTCCTTTTTCACTTTTGTTTTTTTCCCCCTAAGATCAGAATTTTCAGAAAGGGAAAGGGGGGAGAAATTAACATTTTAATGAGCACTTAATACATCGCAAGCACTGATCACAGGACAGCTCTGAGAGCTTTATCGCCTTCATTACAGAGATGAGCAAATTCAGTCTGAGAGGCTAACGAATTTACACGAAGCCAGTTAGTGTCAGAGCTGACATTTGCACCCATGAAGCTATAGCCCGTGTCCTTTTTATTGCACTGTGCTGCTTCTGGGCGTTCAGAAACAGGAGGCCTGGAGACAATGCTCAGATGCAGGAACATGCCTTCCCTTCCATGGCTACCGCCCTGTCTGTACTTACATTTGCTGTCAGCTGGGTGGTCAGAGCTGAAACCTTCTCCTGGGAGGCATCTAGTTCCCGCCGCAGTTTACGAATCTAAAGATGACAAAGGACAGAGTTACTTGCTTTGGGAGTCCATTTCCAGGTTGAGTTGGGTAAAACAATCCACAATAATGAAAGAGGAAGTCCAACCGGCAAACTGTTTCTTACCTCTGACTGGCATTTTTCTTCTGGCTATAAAGAAAACATAAGGGAAATTAGAAGAGTTGAGGAAGAAAGAACAGTGCAGTCCAGCTCATAGGGAACAACCATATTTGGATACTTGCAACAGTTTGGAAGATTTATTAGTTTCTTTTCTGGTGTGTTTCTTGGGATAAACTGGTTCAATTAAACTGACCCAACAGAAAGGCCAAATATAAAGAGTATATTACTTTTAAAAATTAGGAAGAATTAGAACACCACTCCATACTTCGGTTGTTAAGGAGCCATCCTGCATCCCAGGTGGAGACGGTGACAAGGTAAGGCACTCAGGAGACGTATGTGATGAGAAGGGTATGAGCCAGATTTAGCAATTTACAGGATGCCCAGTTAAATTTGAATATTTTTAAGTCTAAGTAAATCCCATGCAATATTGGGGACATACTTATACTAAGAAATTATTTGTCGTTAATCTGAATTTCACAAATTTAATTGGGTGTTCTGTATTTTATCTGGCACTCCTATCTAGGGAGCAAGGAAGACTGCTCTTATATTAATTCTGCTTCATTTTATCCCTCCCTGTCACCTCCTTAGGGCACTACAGTGGGAACAGCAGCAGGGCAGAAAGGCCTCAAAGTCAGGAAGGCTGGGGAAGCCCCTATTGGCCAACCTGGTAACTCCACGGGTTGTCAGGATAAATGTGACCTTCATCTTCCTGTTGCCCCACATTAAGTCTCCCAGTTACCTGTGATCCTGGGAAGTAAGGGTTCATCTTGTTGCCCCTTTCAGTGGCAGAGCCTTCCATGTTGGCTCTGTGTCTGAAGTGACACAGGTACCTGCCAGGCAGAAACTCTGAGACTATCTCTTCCCCTAGGGGGAACCCACATGGGTGGTGGGACCCTGCTGCAGAAGGAACCTTTCTTTTCTTCTCCTCTGGTTCCCATGGGGGCCTATAAAGAAGCACCCACCCCACTTCCTGGAAATGTGGCAGGGTTCCTGACTTCTCTCCACCCACCACTCCAATGTTCCTGGGGTGAAGGAGTGATCTGGAAACCAGTTAGGTGAGTGAACAACAGTAAGGACCCTATTTTGTCCTGGGGTCTTCAACAAGTGTCCTAATCCAATTTCACCAGCAATAAACCCATTATTTTTAAAAATCAGCATTTGATTTTTAGTGTGTAAGTATCTTCTTTTCTAGCAGTTCAGAACGCAAAGGGGTATGATTCATTAGAACCCGTGGACCCTGCACCCACCAGCTGAGCAGGTGGACAGATGCTTCCTGTCTCATCTCCACCCCGAACTCCCCACTGCCCTTCCTCCTGATCCTGTCCTGGAGGGTGGAGCCCCCACCCTCCAGGCTGGCTACTAACAGCAGCAACTAATTTTTAAATACATGTGGACTAATCATTTAATCCTTGCAGTAACCCCATAAAGTAGGTTTGTTTGTATTCCTTCCGAGGTTCAAAGAGGTAAAGTGTCTTGCCTAAAGTCACAATCTCTTTATCTAAGAAATGCTTTCAGAAGGTTGGAAGATGTTCTCAGGGCTCACTCTTCCTTCCCAGGTAATGCTCATGCATCCCTCTTTGTCTGTCTGTCCATCCATCCATCCCACCACCACCACCTGTCAAGTATTTATTGATTTCCTACTATGTGCCAGGCACTGTTTTAAGAAACTGGGATACAGCCGTGAACATGACCAGGTCCCTGACCTCGTGTTGCTTATATTCTGGTAATAATAACTAGCACTTACTGAATGCTTATCATGTGCCAGACTGTTCCAACTACTTTACATTCATTATTCATTTAATCTTTATAACAATCCTTAGCGTAAGTACTAATACTTTCACTTTCTGTTTTGCATATGAGGAAACTGAGGCACAGAGAGGTTAAATAGTTTGCCCAGGGTTGCAGCTGGTTAAGTGGCAACCTACATTCTCAGAGAAGGCACATGTGAGGACGGTTGGGATTGCATCCAAGGTAGTCTGGCTCCAAAGCCTATGATCTTAATCAGTACGTTCTCCTGTTCTTTTATGATAGCTACATTCTTATAGAGGCTTTCCAGAAAGAAGGCCCCTGACTCCTGAGTCTCCTCCAAAGAAGAAAAGTTAATGGTGAGAATGCTACAGCTATCTAACATTTGGGAGGCTGGTGGAGGCCCGTTAGCAGGCTGAAACATCCATATAGGACCAATTCTACTTCTAAACACTTCCATGGGCAGTCCTTCCCCATGACTCTGCCACTGTCTGCCACTGTGCCCACCTGTGTCTGGGGTTTGGCCCCCATTACCAACAGCGGCCAGGAGAAATCATGTCCTCTGCATCTTTCCCCCAGCTGCTGCTGTTCTTCCGCACATCTGGGAACACTATGTGAAGCTGTGGGTCTCCTTCCGTTCAGCAGTTCCCCCTGGTAACTCAACTGCTCTCTACCAACCAAGGAAGCAGGTCTGATGCCACATGTGGCCTCTTAGATTTTCTCTACTCCAAGTCCATGACTTTTCTATGGCAATTATTTAGCATCATGTAATTCTTTCATTTGTAATTAAAACTGTGGGCAAATTTTAGGCAGAATGAGCATTCTTGAATATCCAAGAATTACAGAGATTTCAAGGAAGGAAGCTACTGTCATCCAATAAGAGCCTTTAAAACTCTCAGCTATCAAGCAAGCTCCTTGTTCCGAGTCTTTGGCAACTTAAGAGACTGCTAAGATCTCTTTTTAGACAACAAACAAGAACTTGTTCACATTAACATTTACGAAGGTGCCTGGGGATGTGTTTCAGAATTTCATCATTACCAAGAAGCTAATAACAGGTAAGGGACCATGCCTCAGTGCCAGGTGGTAGCAGAGTCTAGCCAGACTTGCAGTTTTTCTTGAAATTAGTAGACTACTCTAGCATGAAAACATTCAAATGTTAGGCTATTTTTTTTTTTTAAAGTCTGCAAAAGCAACCTAAATTCTCAGAGAAGGCACATGTAAGGACAGCAAATGGGAACCTCTGACTCCATGACTCAGAGAATGTCAGAGATCATGGAGGACTGGGAAGGTCACCTCGCTCAGCTTCCTGACGCAGAGGGAAAACTGAGAGACACCCAGAATAACAAGGTGATTTGTCGAAAGACACATGGTAAAAAAAAAAACTAAGATCAGACCACAGGTCTCTTGCTATCCAGATAAACATGTAATTAAAAATTATTATTATTAGGTCTTTGGTAATTTGTTGAATTTATGTCAACTCAGAAAGGACAATTTCAAATTTCATGAAAGCACCATCTTCATGTCCACAGATCCAGAACAGCAGCTACTAGAAGAGAGCCTTTTGCTGCAAGAGCTTCCAGTGGTGGGTGTGAAGGGGCTGGCCCAGGAATTGAAGGTGACTGTCTCTTAGATCAGAATACTCACGGGGAAGGAAGCTTATGCACTTTCCCTCCAAGGCTGGCCAATGCAGGCCAGACACCCAGTTTTTACTCTCCTGAGAAGGGACCACATTCCCTTCTGTGTGGACAGGAACCCCTGGGAACGCCACAGGGAAAACACAGGGCTGGGGCACCGAGACATCTGCTATTCTGCTCTACACCAAACAACAGGGTCCCACGTCCCTAGGTGTTCTCTGGTGTCTCTGGCTCCCTCTTTCAGGGGCAGGCTCCTTTCTCTCCTAAACCACATCCTTGGTGATCAGTCCAGAGCCTGACATTTACATGTTGCCAGTAAATATTGCTGAAAAAGTGAATTTAGGTTTGAAGTCCCATCCTTGGAACCTATACCTCAGAGTTTCATTCTAGAAGAAAGAACTTAGTTTACCTGCTGGCTGACAACTGGAAGGCCATCTCTATGCTCTCTTAGTAGATTAATGGCTTAAATAACTTCTCCCCAAGGTACTCTATATAAAACCTTTAAAAGGAAAGCCAGGACTTGGTCATGAAACATCAGCGAAGATGACTAGCTTGAGCAAAGAGGAATTTTGGAGTTGGTGGGATGTGGTGGATAGGAATAGAAGCAAGAGTTTCTAGGTCCTTCAAACCCAACCATGTTAGCAATCACTAAAGTCTGTTTGTTATAAGCCTAAGAAAGAACAATCAGGCCCTGGTCTCTTTAACTTGATTGTCGGATGGACTCTTATTTTCAAGGGACTATATATAGTTTACCCTGCTGTCTAGCCCAGAAACCTGGCATTATCAAAACCTAAATTATTAAAACATTTGTTTCCATGGAATTAAGAGGTAAATAATTTCCAATTCACAATTACTGAACAAATCCAATAGTACAGAAAATCCAAATGTATTTGGTTACATTTGGCTTTTGTTCAATAGACCTCTCATTGACAATGGCTAGCATTCAGGAGTGCTTACTCTGAGCTGTGTGTACTATATTCATTGCTTTATATGCATTTTCTTAATTTCTTTCAAACCTATTTTTTGAACACTTACTATGTGCTAGGCACTGTTCTTGGCACCAGGAATAAAAACAAAAAGTCCTTGTCCTCAAGGACTTTATACTTTAGTGAAATATAACCTTTATAACATTTAATCCTTATTACAGCTCTATAAGGTAGGAACTGCTATCATTTCTACTTTACAGATAAAGAAACTGAGGCAGACAGAAGAGTAATAAATTGCACAAGGCCTTTCTTTTCCAAGTCTGCCAGCAGGTGGCCAACGCATCTCACACATTCTAACTAGTTACCACCCAAAGCACAATGCCACTTTAATAAAGCAGCCAGTTCCTGATTTTTTAGGTTGGTACATTAATAGCTGTTTGTGAATTTCAAATCTTGTTCTCTAATTAATTGATCTCCTTATAATGGAAATGCTCTCTCTAGGAGAAATGTTCATATTTTATTCTTGACACGTTTAATAAAGCCGAGGTCTCCAGGTACCAGTCCGTGGCCTGTTAGGAACTGGGGTGCGCATCGCCGCCTGAGCTCTGCCTCCCCCCCACCTCCTGCCCCCACTCACTGCCCCGGCTGTCCGTGGAAAAATTGTCTTCCATGAAACTTAGGAACCGGGATGCACGGCAGGAGGTGAGCACGGGCAAGCGAGCAAAGCTTCATCTGTATTCACAGCAGCTCCCCATCACTCAGATCTCAACCCGACCCCTCCCACCCCCCAGTGGAAAAACTGTCTTCGGTCCCCTGGTGCTTGGGGGCTGCTATAATAAAGGAACCCTAGCTCTCACGATCACAGCCACACAGCACTGATTAATACTCACTGTAGAATAAATCGATGACGTGCTGGAAACCAGGGAGAGCGAGGATCCGTGAACTATTAAGAGAGAGAGGAAAAAAAGAAAAGAACAGCTGAATTGCACAGCTGGGTGTTATGGAACCAGAAAGTGGGGAGGGAAAGAAAAAATCAGCAATACAGGACACCAGCAGGCTTAGAATGACTTAATCTCACCTTGACCCAGCCTTTCTTGGTTTGGTGATAGGTCAGTGGCAAGTAAGGGATAATTGACAAACGAAGTCATTTTTCTATTACATTTTTTTTCTATAAACTTCCACATTTTTTTCTATCGAACAATATATGATTAGTGAACAAAAATTTTCAAGTACAGAGGAGTGTTAAGAAGCATATTCACTGTTATAACCTGCAGTGACTCACAATTCCATTACCTGGAGGCAACCTGTTACCGTTCCAGCATACTTTATTCTACCCTTTTTGCTAATGTATTCCTCTAGGGTTCAGATTGGGTTGCATGTAAATCTTACCCCACTAGCATCTGTCACTTGTACATGCAAAAAGATGAACTGATTATTTTGAACTCAAGAAGCTGCTGGCCACAGTCAGTTCACTCTAGATAACTGTGTAGCAGAATATTTGTTTAGAAAACATATCCATAGAACTATAGATTCTTTGATTTCTATCATGTCTAGAAAATGACAAGTGGTATCCTCTTTTGTTTCAGACCAACACTTTTTGACGAGAACCACACTCGTATACCATTAGCACTCCTTCCTGCCTTCAGCCAGTGGAGACACTTTTTATTTGTTTTAATTTTAAATCATAGTCTTTGCTAGGACTGCACATTCTAGCTGCCTTCTCTTTTTGGGAACTAAATTCTTTATTTTCTTGGTAATCTCTTGACAACCTGTTTGAAAGACAGAAATATTCTTGCGTTACCTACCTTTGCAGGCCTTTGAACTGGGCACAATTTTCTTGACCGTGGGTGGAATGCCTCTACTCCCACAGTGCGCTATGACCTACAGTCTGAAAGTGGGAGGCTGGAGAGTAACTTTCCACATGTGCTAAATGGCATTCACCTACCACCCAAGAAGTGAACTCATGTTGGATTAGCAGTTGGCAGAAGCTACCTGCCAATGAGATATCTGAGGAAAAACTCAGCCTAACACTCAGGCATCGTCTCTACTGTTTTTCCACTAAACCTTCCCTTCCCTCCCATTCTTCCTTTATATGTTCCTATCACACTACGGATCCTGCACTTCTCTCCCAAGCATGCCCTAGATAATACTCTCCCACCTCAGAGTCTTTGCCCATGCAGTTCTCTTTGTTTAGCATGCATCTAAATACTGCCTATCCGAATCAGATCTGCTCAAACAACACCTTCTCCATGGAGCCTGCCCTCATTTTCCCTGACTGCCACCTGGATGAGCTTCCTCCTTCCTCTGCACCCACAGAGCTCGGCTTGCCATTCCAGCCCTCTTCTCTGAAGCGGTCCCTACACTATCACTTACATCCACCCTTCTTAGCAAAGCCCTGAGCTCTAGATCTTTTCCTCCATCCATGACTAATCTGACTCATACCCATAAAAATCAGTTTAAGGTGTTAATGACCAATAATGGCTTTCAATGTTAATATGTCCACACATTAACAGAGGCTTCTAGCATCACAACCCAGGGGCCTGATGTTCCAAAGAGGTAAGTTACTTCAGCTCTACGACACAGACAACAGGGGAGGGATTATATTGGAGGCCAAGTTGGGTGAAGAGATGTGGGTAACATGCAACCACCCTTCAATCACACGTGCATGACTGCCCTGCCAGCGGCTGGCTCCAGCGGCCTGCACTGGGCTCCTGTATGGCATTCAGCTGCTAGAAAATGGAAGGTTTTTCTATTTCTACATCTTACACACATAAACTTGCTGACACAGTTTTAGCAACAACTCAGTGCAAACTTAGGGCCACAGGCAGAGAAGAACGCATCTGGCAGGCTTCAGGTGGAGGTAATTATTTTTCTCCTGTAATTAACTCCTCTCACTTGGTAAATAGCAATAGCAAGGCTGTGTTCCAAAGAAACAAATTCCCTGATTTCCAGAGTCAACCCCCAGATGAATGTGGCTTGCCTGAACCACTGCAGTTGGCCCTCCTTCAAGTGAATGGAGCCAAGTCAGAGCCCGGGTTATGCAGCGTGAATACTCTTGGAAAACAAAATGCGTATTGTAATTACAGAGCCAAAACAGCTAAAGCACGCCAGGTGATTTTCCTCCCTGTATCTGTACCTCCCAAACTTTTCAGCTACAAGGAGACACAGAGAATATCTAGGCCACCTCTGCCCCTGGGGAATCTGAAACTCAGAAAGGTTAAATGACTTGCTTAAGGTCACAAAGCAATTCAAGAATACCATCTGCTGACCAGAAGTCTGGAGACCACTCTGCCTTTGAGAGATCTGGGTTACTGGCTTTTGTTTTTTTTTTTATTTTAAAGCCTTTTGGTGTCTTTTAGAGTGGTTTCCTATTCCCTTCAAGCAATCTACATATAGGCACAAGCCAGGACTGACGTTTGAGAAGAAAGATGCTTTAGGTGGGGGTGGAACCACTAGATAGAATGAAACAACTGGGCATATTCCAGTCAATAAAGCAATCAAGTGCCTCTGACCCCCATCATCACAGAGAATTTGCAGGTAACAATCCCAGACTAGGCAGGAGTTTCCACCCTTAATTAACAAAAGAATAAATTAAGGCCAAAAGTGGTTAAGTGGTAAGCTCAAGCACACACAGCTGGTCAGAAGCAGAGAGAACAGAATCCAGGCCTCAGACTGTGGTTCTCGTTCCATAGCTGGGTACTGTGGAAGGAGCCAGGGAGAATGAGATGCAGTCCAGTGGCGAACAGACTGCCCTGCCTCTCAACCAGCAAAGGAAGCATAATAAAAACAGGGATGAAAGATCAGGGCTTGCCTCAAACAGGTTAAAACAAAACAAAACAAAACACCCCGGCTGAGCCCAATGTCAAGGTAGGGTTGAGTAGAAAGACAGAGGGCTGGGAATCAAAAGGCTTAGGACATTGTACTAGCTGCAGAAAGTCTTCAAGCCACTTCAGCCTCAATTGCACCATTAAAAGAAATGGGGGTGATAATGGCCCTTGGGGAGAAGGATGTAACATAACAATTATAACAATAGCTACCATTGATTGCGTACTTACAATCCACCCCCTTTCAAAGTTATTTGCTAAATGCTTTCCAGGATTTATCTCACCTAATCTTCACTTCAATCCTCTGAAGCAGGTACAATTATTTTCCATATTTTAGTGAGTAGGAAACAGGTTGAGCAGGGTCAAGTTCCTTCCCAGAGTCACATGGTTGCCAGAATTTGAATTGCAACTTTAAGTCAGGGGCTAGAAACACAGCAGAGCTGCAATACAAGCTTCCCTTATTAGAAAGCTGCTATGCTCTGCTCCTGTGGATTTCATATAAACTGATACGGTGGGGGTCTCTGTGTTTCAGATTGCACTGGCTCTTAGTGATGACTGGTGAAATCACGGGAGTTTTTCTCTCTAGACATCCGTTTTAAAAATGCCTCAAGCATCCTCCTAAATGTATGCTATTAAAGTTGACTTTAAGATTGCATAATGCATCTGATGGAAATTAATTTACCTGAAATAACTTTGAAAGGCTGCATCTGGGCCATGCCTGTGCCTAATCTACATATTTATGATTCCCACCTCCTTCAAAATGGAAAGTGCTAATTAAATTGCACAAAAACTTCACACAAACACTTGTGCTAATTCTTCCTAAATTTCTATTTTGCTGTATCGTACATAATACACCAAACATGAGATGTGAATTTTTCCCCAACTGTTTCTGCAGTGCTGGGAGTTTATAAATTCAAAAGAAAAAAAGGTCTTTACTCAAAGGAATTGAAAAAAAAACAACCTAATTACACAAGCCCTATTTTGTTTTTGTACTGTGATAGCCTTGGAAGAAATAAAATCCATCTGATGCCAAATTTCCCTAAAGATGAAAATATTATGTGTTCATAGTATATCGACAGCAGTCCCTACCCCTTCCCCCAAAGTTTGATTTTTACCCCTGTGCTTCAGTTCCACATCACCATGAATCATTAGGTTTACAAAAGTCTAGACACTGCTTATGGGCAAGCACTTTTTATCAATGTCATTTTGACATCCCAGATATTCAGCAGTTGTGCTGCCTGCCAGCTTGATTCCAGATGGAATAAATAAAAGCTATCTGACAATGATACTGTAATGGTCTCGGGCCTTTATGAGGCGAAGCGTGCTTGCCTGGACAAGTCTCAGGACTGAGTGTGGTTCACTCAGGTAGACACACGGCAGAGAAGATGAATCCAGCGCAGGGCAAGCTCCATGTGCAAGTCCTCATCAGGGAGGCTGGGAACCGCTCTGAGGCCATGCTTGGCCGGCACACCAACAAGAAAAAAGTTCAAGACAAACTGCCTCCTCCTCCACCTTAGGGTCATAATACGTCCTCTGCTATTACTGCTCTGAGTGGTTATAGCATTAATTTCTAGCTCTTAAATCTAGCAAAAACACTCTCAGTTACTCAGGCTCCTCCCCTCCTTAATCCTCTGTCCCAGCAAGTTCCCATATATGGATTCGCAGACTCGCCTCTGCTCACTGGAAGTCACTGCATGCTAATGATACATAAATCAGGGTGGAGAGTATAAGTCTCCAGGAAGATTTCAGGGGGCAACTGCTCTGTAACTAAATTCTTGAAAACTTTTGTTAAAAAGAACACAAGGCAAAAGCAGAAGCCTGTATCTTGTATTTTTCTCCCTTTGACCTGGGATTTCCTGAACAATCCTAAATTTGTTCTTTCCTGCCAGGAGGATGCTGGCCATATTTCCTCATTCTCGTAGGGACGGGGAAGCACCTATGGCTTGGCCTCCACATTCTGTTTTGTCATTGGTGAAAAAGGCACAACTAGAGGTATGGTCCTCAGCTTGGGCTCCATTTGATCCAAGAGTCCCCATCCTCTGGCTGGGGCCTCTGAGCTGCCAGGAAGCCAATGGTGAAGCTGTGTTTTGACAGCTATGTCATTATAGCTTTATAAGCTGCGTCATTACAGGCTATGACATGTAACAACATTATTATGTTAGCATTTATATGTGTTATCTCATTTAATTCTCATAATTCCATGCACTGAATACTATTATTATTCTCATTTTCTCAGTGACAAACCAGAGGCACAGCGAGGTGAAGCAACTTGTCCAAGATCATGTCCCTAAGAAGCAGTGGAGCTGGAGTTGAGACTCTGCTAGTCTGACTCAGTATTCTCAATCACTGGGTGATAAGCCTCCAATGTCCTATCAGCCCCATCTTTGGGGGGTCGGGGTGACATCCACCACAGCATTTTGAGAGCTTTCTCCCCTAACTCACACCTCAGGTGAAGGAACAAAGGGAAGGGGAAACGAAATGAGTTGTGGAAATGGCTCGCAAAATTGCCCACAGAACTTTTCTCTCACAATTCTGATGAAAATTAACAAAACATATTAATAAAAATCCAACCCCAAAAATATTCACAGTTAGCAACCAAAGAAAGAAAAGGGCATAACAGAACATAATAAACTTATGACACCGGTGTTTGAGAAAAGAGATAGAAAATTCTGGAACAGAGCAGAGAGGCGTGTCTGCCCAGCCCCCCAGAGCTACAGGAGTGTGTCGGCACAGGGAAGTGAGCTCTCCAGCAACTCCCTCTGCCAAGATGGGGAGCCAGTGTCTGAACCTCAAGATGGAGGCGCATGCCAAGAAGCTGTGGCCCAAGTCCAGGACAGAGGTGCCTAGAGCGGAACTCAGTCAGTATTACGGCTCATCAGTGTTTTTTCAGCAGCCTCTTCCCTAAAGTCCTGAAAGGTTAATTAAGGGCCAGACCTTACTACTGAGTGTTCCCCATCCCTGACCCCCAGAGTAGGTGGGAGAGTTGGAAGCACTTACAGGTGGGCTCTCAGGTCGATGAAGTGAACTGAGCACAGAAGACCATTAACCACACAGAGTAACCTGGGAGCTGGTGAGACTCCTTCCTTACCTTCTTCAAACCCATCCCGGAACGAGCCCGAACGGCTCATGGTTCTGCTCTTCTCATCCAGGGACATGGAGCTATTCCGGAAGCGGCTGTCCGTGTACGGATCATACTGCCCATCGGCATTGGACAGGCTGTGGGTCCTCAGCATGGCCGGGTTGGACAAGCTCATCTGGGTGACAGTGGTGGGACTCGCTGGAATGAAAGGAATGGAATCAAATGTTGGAAATTCATGTCTCTGTTCAAATCCTGGATGGGGACAAAGAGGAGGCTGCTTATTGTCAGCCACACGCATTCCTGCCAACTTCTCTCCCGTCTATTTTCTAAAAGGTAGTCGCATCAGCATTTGAGTTACACACTGAGAGCTAAAAATAAGGGTGGAAAGGCGGGTCAGCTCTACGGCAAGGCTCTGGGCTTCGGCTTTCCAACTTGGCACGTTCAGACAGGCCAGTGTCACCTTCCAGGCATGAGCTAATTACTCCCCAGGCTCATCTGGAACGATTCTCTCTAAAGCCAAAAGCCCAAAATAGTCCAAGCAGGCTTTTGATCAGATGGGAAGCATTTGTGCATGACAAGAATCTCTTGCCTCAAAGAGTTACGGCTGGGAAAGAACAATATGAACATAGGTCTCATGGCCTCAGATGGGGAACACTGTGTAAAAAACTTCCATGCAAACGAGGTACATTTGCCACAGCTAAAAGCAGCTTTCTTAAGAAAATTCTGTCCGTTTTGGTAATGTACAGTATTTTCAGAGGTACACATTTAGCTAATCAAAAACGAAGAATTAAACCTCACTTGATTACAAACCACACTGATCCTTAAAGCCTCTGAATTTATTATTCACAATGTTTGGAAAAGGCTGCCTCTCTAAAGAGTGAGATGAGATTGGAAAAGATTTTCCCTCTATCAGTCCCCCAAGGCTCAGCTCCCATCCTGCCACCCTCATATAACCTCTGTCTGTAATTCCAGCCGACACTGATCTTTCCTTTCTCTAACTGTGTAGACCACTTCCTATCTGATTACAGTCAGTTTTTACATGGTTTCATATAAAGCTGGACTGTTCTCTTTTACCCTGCTTTACAGGTCTGCATGGGGGTGTGTGTGTCTCTCTAAAAAAGAATCCATTGACATGTCAGCAGGGACTGTGCTAAAAATCCTTTTCCTTTCCCCACTGTGCCAGCCCAAGCATTATGTCGGCAGTGAGCACTTCTAAGAATACCTGTTCAGTCAAAGCTTAACTTTTATTTCCAGCTTATCAAAGCAAAGAGGATCACCAAATGTGGGGTATGCCATAAACCCTACTTCTTCAGAGATCTTAAAAATAGAATGTATTCTTCTCAAAAATGGGATGATTTGCTCTTTGCAGTAACCCTACCTGAATCAGCCACAGACAGAAAATTGATCAGAGTACCAAAATTTTTGCTATTTTCTCTATTTCTTTTGCTATCGATCACCTGTAATCACACTATTATTACTGAGGACTTAGTCCGATGTCAAGAGGGACATGACCACATGTCTATTTCAAAACACCAAATAAGCTCTGCCCTACAGAGCTGATCAACACAGCTCATGACAAGTGGCTACTCACCAAGCTGGGAAAAGTTGAACCTTGTTCCAGAGGGAGAAGTTACGCTGGAGCCAGAGGAAAAAGGGGAATTCGCAGCAGTGTCCTGCAGGCCTCCTGCTGAGTGGGACCGTAACCATTCTTTTGCGTCTTCTTGCGTGCGAAGCTGGGAGGTGGGAGTATACCTGGACAGACAGAAATCAAGCTGGAATGAACTATGAACAACACTTATGAAAATGAACTCTGTGGAGCTGATGGCAAATACATAAAAAGAAAATATATATCCAAGGATGATTTTTCAAAAAATCAGATCACTACACACCCTGAAACTTACGAAGTCTCTCAAAACCTTTTTTGCTACTTGGCAGCGTTTGGGGAAAGTTACAATTGCTTTCCCTGTGGAGGGAACACATAAAGGGAGGAAGATTGGTAAATGCTCAAAAGAGCCGTCACTGGGCGTTGCTGTAACATGTTGATTCATGACAGTGTCACGTCAAAGCCCCCACCTTGATGGGACTGAAGCAACAAAAGGAGCTGCTGTTAGAGCTCTGAGGAAGTTTTAATTAGATAAATCATGGCATCTGCATTCTACAGCACAAATAAGTGGCCGTGAATCACAGCACACGAGAAAGCAGACATGTAAAGGAAGGTCCAAGGACACTGATGCTTACAGCAGTTGCTGCCATCACACATAAGCAAGTTTTCATGAAAGGAGCCCCAAATTATTGGGTTTTCCAGGAAAGGGTCTTCAGAATTATGTGACCCACCTTCTCATTTATTCTGAAATGCATTTGGTGATGATTTATTGAGCAACTACAATGTGCTAGGGGCCTTCGTGGACGTTATCTCACTGGAGCCTCAGACCTACTCAGCCATGCAGATGCCACTATCCCTATTCACTTTCAGGAAAGGCAGGGCCCTGCTCCGAGTCACAGAGCTGAAATTCCATGTTTATCTGATTCCAAAATCCATGCTCTTTTCACTGTGCCCAAAGGCAGCATCTAGAATTTCTGAGTGCACAAGTGGCCAGGGTACCACTGGATTTTAGGTACTATATGTAAATAGAGGGATTTTTTGTGCTAAAAAAAAAAGGCGTTGTGGGTGTGTTGGCATTGGGCATGCATGTGAGCTAGAGGGAGGGAGGAGCCGGACAGGAGGGTCAGAGTGAGAGAGAACACAGCACTGTTTCTTCCTTAATGTTTTCACTGAAATTGATGGACATGAAACTTTCCAGGACACACCAATGACCTGAAAATAGCATGTCATATAGCCCTACCCTGAATTTTTAAAAAACAAACTTTAAAAGGCCAGAGCTATATAATTTTGATAAGAGAGATCTGCTACAGAAATATACACACCATTTCAAAATGTTGCTATGTAGAAGGTAGCTTCCTTTCAGGGCACCAGTGGGGCATTAAAGTCAAACTAGTACTGAGAGTGGCTGTCATTTAAGCATCTAGCAAGGTTGCTGACAAGCAGCCCTCACAGGCCCGATGGAAACTGGTCAGTACAGAAGGCCTGGCCGACTCCCCTTTAAGGCCACAGAGCTGAACTCCCTTCTACCGGATGTCTGTTGGGAGATTTTAATACTTTCCTTCTTAGATTCCTAGAATTGGCTTTACTCAGAGCTCCTATTGAAAGGAAGCATTGATACCTACCTCATGTTACTGTTCAAAATGCTCTCAGTCTTAAGAGCTGCGGGTTATTAACTACAGACATACATGACAGCAGTGAAACATTTCATTCCAAGTTCCATTTTATGCAAAAGCACTTAATGCTTAGTGCAGGGTGAAGCTGATGCTACAAAGAATGAGGTGTTTAGAAAGCAGGAGAAATGACGGCTGCAACCATAAGACAGTAAGATCATGGGGGAGGCGTTAGCAAACTGGAGCTCCTCGGGCTGGCAAAGTGATGTAGATGGTGTGAGCAATGGTGACTTATAGCATCTTGTCTTACCAGGACTAGCACCAAAAACGAGCCCAAGCTACCACTTACTAGGAGTAAAAGGACACTCCTTCCTGGGAGTCTTGTCTTTATTTTCAACAAAAAATGATCACACCCATGTCTTGCTGGGCACTGAAAGTAGACCCAATTTTCGATTAGAATATTTAGACAAGTGCAAAATATTTGTCTTTAGCAATTTTTTAATGGGCTGAAAAGTTAAATACTTTAAAATTTGGAGAAAATATTCCTCACCTCCTTTGCTCTTGTCCTAGCTAATCGATCAGCATGCTATAAGTCATGTCCTTTCTCTTAAAAGACAGCCATGTGAACAGAATGGTCATGGTGAAGTGCTCAGAGATTAAACCCACTGGCCCCAGAAGTAGCAGTGACTGCTCTTTGGGCTTGCCCAGGGATGTTTTTTATGAGATGGTTTGATCACATTAAGCCTGAAAAAGCACAGCCCCTGCTCAAGCAAATAAGCCAACAAATGGAGAAGTGAGGGTGTGGCGGGGGGCATCATCCAAAAGGTCCTGCTGCCGTGGTCAAAGCGGGGACCCCAGCCCAGCCCAAACCCCCACCAGCCATGAGAGAGTCACACAGCCAAGCTCCAAAGCCACAACAGATGGCATGGATGCAAGGAGGAAACACAGATACCTGAGTCCTTTCTTAGGCAAAGTGTTCCTATCAAGGTGCGGGTCACTGTAGGAAAGTTAAAACAAAAATAAGAACTTCAGAGAAGCACAGGCAAGGGAGGGAAAGTGAAGGGGAAAGCTAGGGAGGGGGCTGAAGGGCCCTGAAGAAAGAGACTCACATCACCAGGGAGTGCGCCCTTACCCAGCTATGCATGCAATGAACACATCCACAGAAAACAAAAGAAACCCAGTCCCTGGCCTGAGCTGACACCAACCAGTGTATACTTTACCCCAAGTCATCAGGAGGCCTGAATTGCTTAACCCCAAAGGCTCCTCCTTTTCCATAGGTTCAAGGCAAAGCTCAGGGGCTGCCCCACCTCGAAGCAGAGCCCATGCCTTCTGCTGCCCAGCAGCCCTCTCTGAACCCCCACCACTGCTTTTCGGAGAGAGGGGTGCCAGCTTTTGTATACCCCTAACACTGGCCCACCCCTGAAATACCACTGGCAATGACTTCAAGTAGGAGAAGGGACTTGTTGGAGGATTCAAGAGGCCAGCAGTCTGCATATTTGGAATTCATCTGTAACGAAGTGAATTCCAGGTCTCTCTCAATTTCTGCGGTCCTTGTTGGGCGTAGCTAGGAGCTGAGCCCTGGGCCCAAGTCGGGGCGTGTTACAGCTTGCTGGCTGATAAAGTCAAGGCATTTGGATTTCCAAAGAACAAGAGTTTAAAGGCTTGGTTTGTGAGTCTGACAAAAACAAAGTCTTTGCTGTTGATGGGGTGAAGAGGGTGTTTTTTCCCCCCAGCATGAAACAACATCTGCTTGTTATGTTTGGCCCAGTCATCGCTACCCCACAAATTTCAGGTCAATATCCATCTCTGAGGCCCACCCACAGCTGAGGGGGCAAACACAAGCATCTTCATTTGTAAAGTCGTAACACTCCACATATTTTTTTTTCATTATCGTTACAGGAGATGGGCACACGGAACACAACAGTCTGCAAGACACAACGAGCCAAACTGCAGCGAAGGACTTGGAAAGGGAGAAGAGCCAGCTGTGCAGGGAGAGGGGAGGGGAGCAGAGGTGAAGGCCACGCTGCACAGTGGGTGGTAGTTCGCTTCTGGGTGTGTGTTGGGGGGAAAGGAATGGGAAGAAGCTAGGAAGCAGGAGCATGCCACAGGAGGCCACAAGAAATGCAAGTGAGAGCTTCTGCCACCCCAGACCAAGTGGAAAGGTTTGGGGTCGCCTTCCCAAAATGGGAATGAAGGAGTCAACCCAACTCCACCTCTCCCAGGGCTTTAGCGGACAGTGGAACAGACCCTCACTGGCATGTCTGGGTACCACAGAGTACACTAGAGCCACAAACACAAGCGGAAGCCTCAGGCCAACAGCCTCGCACAAGACATCTGGCTTGACAACAGACGGGCAGAGGAACCTAGAGGCTTCATGGGTCCCCGGCCTACAATGTCATTACCTGTCCTGTTTCCTGGGCAGAGTACTTCTGCAGAACTTAGGGCTAGCAGCAGGGGAAGAGAGAGGGCTAGAAGTCCAGGCAGGTAGAAAACAAGAGAAGGACCATTAGCTTGGAAGAAAGGAGAGGTGTTACACACAATGATTAGAACATTTTTTTCATTCCCTGTGCTGATCCCGGCTTGCTTCCCTATGCGCAGAAACTGGACACACATCACTACTGCAGTGAAATCCAGGGCTCTGAGGACACTTTCAATCTCTTGATTTCCTATCACCATGGCCAGCAGCTCTTCAGTAGGAGGGCGTTTGCCACGATGACCCCCAAATCTACCCAGCTGCTTAAAGAGCATCCTACCACATGCTCCGTGGCTGCACCTGGTCTCCTCCTCTGCATGCACAATTACAAGAGGAGGGTAAAGAAGCAGTTGATGAACAAACAGAATAAAATGGAAAGATTTCAAAGGCTGAATGCCATTTCAAATATTAGCATATACCTGCCCCCAAGAGACTTCAAGCAGTTCCAAGCACCAAGAACACAATCACAGAGAAAAAGATAACGGGGAGCAGAGCCAAGCTTAATTCCATCCCACACCGGGTTCCCCATGAAAGACAGCAGTAATTAGAAAGAGAGAAATCTCACAGGCAAAGGCTAATTGACAGTTGGGATTCCTAGCCTAATCTTCTTAATTTTGGAAGGGCGTTTTTCTGAGCAATGCAGGCAGCCAGAGGCACGGCACCAACCTTTCTGACAGTGTGGTCTTCACACTGTTGGTTCTGACAAAGGGAGTCAGGGAGTCATCCTTAGCAGAGGTGATCAGGCCAGTGGAGGAATTGTGGCTCAGTCCCCCTCCACTGCTGAGGGAGATGTCAATGGACTCACAGCTGGTGTGGAGGCTGCTAACGGACTGGAAGCCCAGGCCGTCCTTGCTAACTGCTGAGGAGCTGCTGGCGTTGGTGCCCCAGGTGAGGCTGTTGGAGGGCCCCGAGTGGGCTGAGCTGGGGCTGGAGGCTAGAGGAGACTGGTTGAGGTCCACGTTCTTACTGTAGAGAGGGCTGCTGCTCCCACTGCTCAGGACGCCACTGCCTGATGGGGAGTCTAGGTTACCTTGCTGGGTCATGGTGGCATGAGGATTGGAGATGACCACCGAGTTTTTCATGTTTTCGGCTGTGGCGATGGGCACTTGCTTGGTAGGCTTCCCACCAAAGAGTCTGTGAAGAGACAAAGGGTCGTGTGGGTTGAACTCCCAGTGCCAAGGGGCACCGAACTATTAATGAACGGTGGGGTATAGGAGTCGGCGAGAACCCCTGGGGATGGAGCACAGCCATTCCTACTGCAACAGCTAAAGGTGCTCCACGGGGAAGGGCTGGCCACAGAGTGGGCCTGGACACAGGTGTATCACAGGCTGCCACATTGGAGTTCTGGGCTGCAGCTGAGACCCTGGCTCTGTGTGAGCCAGAGGGCAGATGGGGAATAATTTTCTACAGGCCTCTCCGCACTGGTCCAAGACCTTCCTTCCCTTTCTTGCTGTAAATAGACAACTGCTGCGGCTCAGGAAACATCCAGAGGGAAAAGTTGTCTTAATCATCTTTGAATCTCTGACCCCAGGCACAAAGCAGGCACACAGGTTATGTCAGCTCAACTCCAAGGGATTTGGTTTCTTTGATCTCCAAGCATGACACATAGAATCGAGATACTAGATACTAGAATGAGTCTAGATCTGGATGGGGCCTGGGAAAGGATTTTTACAGATTTAGTCTCAATGGAAAGCTCAAGCTGAAAGATGGGTCTGTCAGGGCCAAGCAGCTTGATTTACCCAAGGACATACACAGAAATCTTGCTGGGTTCACAAGACATTCGACCAGACACACTGGGTGTGAACTGCGTCTCCATGACAGATACACAGAAATGCCATTCCATGTCGTCTCCCCGCTGCTCATGGCCAAAAATGTGTCGTCAGACTACAGGGAATTGCACAAATGCCTCCCTCTTCCACTGGCAGGGAGCTCTCTAGTAGAATGGTGGAACTGTTTTAAAGTCAGAGGGTGGTCCACATTCTGGTAATAAAAGGGCTTTATTCCACCCATTAAAACCCATGTGGAATAAATATCTCCATAGTGACAAAACTACTATATATTCTGATATGCAGATGGCCTTTCACCCAAATACTCAAAGTGGTGTGAATCTGATCTCTGTTCTCTCCAAACGGACCTACAAATCTCAATTACTATAAAGACAAACAAATAATCAATCCTCACTACAGTGTCTGCTGACAGAGAAGAAACACTTTTCACCTGATGACAAGCAGGGACTAAAATATCCTAATGTAGAATCTTGGCTTTAGAATGCTTACATACTTCCAGTGACAGGATCCTCACTACTTAGAAGGGTAAATCACCCCATTGCCAAGCACTTCCGATTGCTAGAAAACCTAAATCTCATCCGTCTTTTTCTGACCTTTGCACATTGCTCCTCATCCTGCGATGTGTAACTACACAGAAAAAGTCCAATCTTTTGTTTGTTAGTCTTTCAAACGATTTGAAGAGAGTTACCTATCACACTCCACCTCAGATTTCTCTTCTCCATACTAATGCACAGGAGAGAACTGAGAACACTTAACGATTTAGGAAAAATGTAATTTGCCAGGAATTGGCTGGACGGTGCTCAATGTAGAGCCTGAGGAGATGCATGCATTTTCAAGTACTCTATTACACTAGCCTAAGGATCTAGTAAAATGCCTTTGTGGTGACTAAAAGAAATCTATAACACCAAAGAGCAAATATTACATATAATACTTGAGGCAAGAAGCAGAGAAATTCTCATTTACAAGGCAACCTGTTAAAACAACAAAGAGCAGCCCAATAGGGCCTTGCCCCTGAAAAAATCATCATTACTGAAATTCTAATAATCAAGTCTAGACAAAGAACAGCGAACTGCTTCATTATACCTTTCATGTGGAATGCTTCTTCTGAAGTCTTTTCAAACATTCCTGTTCATCCACAAATATGTACAAGTGCATATAATTTTTACTTTTCTACTGCTTAATTTTCTATCCTTGGGATTTACTCTTTCTTATGACAAGAAATTTCCTGGGAAGGTAGGATGAGCTCTAATCTATGCAGCTGCAGTTTGGGGATGGTCCAGTGGATATTAAAATGAGATAATAGGAACAGGAAAAGGTCTTATAAATTTAAAAGAAACTATTAAAAAAAAACAGTGAATAATATT